GGGCCCTCCTGAGGGAGGGGGCGGCAGAACAGGGTCGCACCAGCTGGGGCGCTCGGGGGCGGAGGCAGCCTGCGGACGACCTTTCTGTGTAGTGCTTTGCAAGATGCTGGTTTATGAGGTTTTCCCTAAGCATCCTGTCACTGGTTACTGTGCGCGTGACGAAGCGGAGGCGGTCCCTGGAGGCCGAGGGCGCGGGGCCAGCAGGAAGGCTGGGAGGACGTGTGCACGCGAGGCCGCTGCTTCCCGGCAGTAGAGCCGGAGCGAGCACTGGAGAGGGTGCGCTTGCTTTCTCGAGCGCCGGCTCTGAGCCCGCGGCCTGTGCCAGTGCACTCTGGCTTTTATCTGGGGCGCCGAGCCAGTCTGCCTGGGGGCCCTCCCGCAGGACAGAAAGGTGGCTTTTCCAGTATAAAGCCAGGCCTCCGGAAGGCGGTGCAGCTGGCACGCGTGTGCGTCGTCTGGCAGGCGCTCCTGTACACAGTTTCCTGTAGTCCCCCCCCCCCCCCCGCCCTTAACTTTATTGCATCCCATGGTTAACAGTTTGGTAAAGGAGTGAGGATGCAAATGACCTGAGCCGGGTGTGACCTTTGCCCCCTGGCTGTAGGGCAGGCTGCAGGCACTGCGCAGGCGCACGCGTGTTCAGCTGGGTCTCCCGGAGAGTGGCAGCTCAGGGCGCAGTGGTGGTCATCTTCCTGCTGCACGTCCTCGGACAGCTGCGCCGTGTGCTGCACACCGCACCAAAACCCTGCCGGGCCTCACCCGGCGCCCTCTGCCGCCCCCGCCGGGCCTCACCCGGCGCTCTAAGTGGGCAGGAGCCGCTTGCAGTTCCTGCTCTGAGTTTGAATTTCAGGGGCAGGAAGTTGGATTTCTGTCCAGATGAAGGCTCGGGCCGCACTAAGCGCCGTGTGGAAGCATCTCACTGAGGGCAGGCCTGTGTGAAGATGTTGTGAGAGCCAGTCCCACGCGCTGCCTGCCGCTCTGTGTCAGCTTAGGACGCGCGTTGTCATCAGAACTCCTGCTGTATCCCTCTAGAGGAGCACAGAGAAGCTGGTGTGAATTCTTGGAACAGTGAACTTGTGCGTGTAGCTCCCGGATGTCCTGGCGCCAGTGGCCCGGCCCGTGCTCCATCCTGGTGCTGGTGGTGGGCCGGCCCGGCCCCACAGAGGAGGCCTTTGGGTGCCAGTCAGCAGAGACCGAGTGCATCCACGCCTCGCTCACTGACGCTGCCCCACCGCCACCCCCACGCCGTGGTCCTTGAGGCTGGCAGACTCCTGCCTCTCCCAGAAACACTGGGTCCCTGAGCGCGCCATTGTGGTTACGCTGGAGTGAGACATCCCAGCGGGGAGTTACTCTGAGAGTGAAGTTGCGTTTCTGTAGTGAGGTGAGGAAGCGTCCCTGTCTCTCCCTAAGGGTGAGAAAGGTGACAGCATAGCGTCGCTGCTCAGCCCAGCGCTCTGTGCCCGGAGAGCTGTTGGCGGCTGGGCTGGCCACAGGGCATTGTTGCCTCGCCGTGGGTGTGGCCGCGTTCCGCCTAGGTGCAGATGTTACGGAAGCTCGGGCGTGGAGCAGGTGTGAAACATCCCTGGGTTAAGTAACCGCGCTCCGTCTTGTTTGTGGAGGTCGTTGAAGGGTAAACCTGCAGAAAGTCGAATGAGGCCGGCTGGTGCGTGAGCTGCCCCGGGAAGAACTGGGGAGTTCTAGAATGTTCCCCCAATGCAGGAGTTTTGTGGTGTTTTTTGAAATTAGTGTGTGCAGTAAAACTTTGTATGTAAACAGTGGTCCTTAATCTTAAAGAGGTTTGGCCCATTTCCAAGACAGCCGCGTGATCTGACCGCTTGTGGCGAGTTGAACGTCCACAAGTACTTCTGCCCAGGGTGGTCTGTATTTTTAGGTTACCTCCCTCTCCCTCGGAGTTTGAGTGACAGACATCACTCGTATCACTTCTGTTAGGACTTTTTTAATTTGGGGTGTGTGTCTGCGAGTGAATATTTTTAGCCAGAGAAACGTTTGAGTCATTCCACAGAAATCTAGATGATAACCGGAGAGACAGGCTCAACACTTGTAATTCAAAAGCTAATCTGCTTCCCCTGGGGGAGAGAGAAGCGCGTGCCGCCCTGGGCAGGCGTGGACAGCAGCACTCACCTGTGTGAGGTGGTCAGGCACCTGACGTCTCCAGGAACTCAGAGCACCTCCTGGGAGGGTCGCGGCTTGCACAGGTGGCGTGGTCAGCCTGGGTGCCGCCTGGATGCATTTACAGCTCTGATGGTGGCGGGGGGTGTGTGTGTGTGTTTGCGCGCGTGTGCGTGGGCGGCAGACAGGGCAGAAGTGTTCCCGGACCTGTGACTGAAAAATAGGAACCACTGCTCAGTGCTGTGGTCTGTGTGGCTGTGTGGTGGGCAGTGCTCAGTGCTGTGGTCTGTGTGGCTGTGTGGTGGGCACTGCTCAGTGCTGTGGTCTGTGTGGCTGTGTGGTGGGCAGTGCTCAGTGCTGTGCTCTGTGTGGCTGTGTGGTGGGCAGTGCTCAGTGCTGTGGCTGTGTGGTGGGCAGTGCTCAGTGCTGTGGTCTGTGTGACTGTGGTGGGCAGTGCTCAGTGCTGTGGTCTGTGTGGTGGGCAGTGCTCAGTGCTGTGGTCTGTGTGGCTGTGTGGTGGGCAGTGCTCAGTGCTGTGGTCTGTGTGGCTGTGTGGTGGGCAGTGTCAGTGCTGTGGTCTGTGTGGCTGTGTGGTGGGCAGTGTCAGTGCTGTGGTCTGTGTGGCTGTGTGGTGGGCAGTGCTCAGTGCTGTGGTCTGTGTGACTGTGTGGTGGGCAGTGTCAGTGCTGTGGTCTGTGTGGCTGTGTGGTGGGCAGTGTCAGTGCTGTGGTCTGTGTGGCTGTGTGGTGGGCACTGCTCAGTGCTGTGGTCTGTGTGGCTGTGTGGTGGGCACTGCTCAGTGCTGTGGTCTGTGTGGCTGTGTGGTGGGCAGTGCTCAGTGCTGTGGTCTGTGTGACTGTGTGGTGGGCAGTGTCAGTGCTGTGGTCCTTGTGGCTGTGTGGTGGGCAGTGTCAGTGCTGTGGTCTGTGTGGCTGTGTGGTGGGCACTGCTCAGTGCTGTGGTCTGTGTGGCTGTGTGGTGGGCACTGCTCAGCGCTCAGTGCTGTGGTCTGTGTGGCTGTGTGGTGGGCAGTGTCAGTGCTGTGGTCTGTGTGGCTGTGTGGTGGGCAGTGTCAGTGCTGTGGCTGTGTGGTGGGCAGTGCTCAGTGCTGTGGTCTGTGTGGTCTGTGTGGTGGGCAGTGCTCAGTGCTGTGGCTGTGTGGCTGTGTGGTGGGCAGTGCTCAGTGCTGTGGTCTGTGTGACTGTGTGGTGGGCAGTGTCAGTGCTGTGGCTGTGTGGCTGTGTGGTGGGCAGTGCTCAGTGCTCAGTGCTGTGGCTGTGTGGCTGTGTGGTGGGCACTGCTCAGCGCTCAGTGCTGTGGTCTGTGTGGCTGTGTGGTGGGCAGTGTCAGTGCTGTGGCTGTGTGGTGGGCAGTGTCAGTGCTGTGGTCTCTGGCTGTGTGGTGGGCAGTGTCAGTGCTGTGGCTGTGTGGTGGGCACTGCTCAGTGCTGTGGTCTGTGTGGCTGTGTGGTGGGCACTGCTCAGCGCTCAGTGCTGTGGTCTGTGTGGCTGTGTGGTGGGCAGTGTCAGTGCTGTGGTCTGTGTGGCTGTGTGGTAGGCAGTGTCAGTGCTGTGGCTGTGTGGTGGGCAGTGCTCAGTGCTGTGGTCTGCGTGGCTGCGTGGCAGGCGCCAGTGCTTTCTGGCTGTTAAACGCTGCCCTGTTTCTTTGCCCTGTGCAGAATGAGCTGAGCGTGAACATGGACTTCTCCCGGCTGCACCTGTACAGCCCTCCTCAGTGTGTTCCCGAGAACACGGGCTACACCTACGCGCTCAGGTGAGTCCCTGCAGGCCCCGGAGCCGTCCTCGGCAAGGCCTGGGAGAGGTGTGCGTCTGCTGGCTCCTCGGCCTCGCTGGTGAGGTGGTCCCGTACACACGCAGGCCTCAGACCCACCCGGCCTGTGCCCTCCTGCAGGATGTGCTTAAGGGGTGTGGCAGCAGCTCGATGGCTCAGAGCTGGCAGAAGATAGCCCGGGAGCGGCCTGTCTGAGCGGCCCTTGCACCGGCGCCCCCGCAGTGTTTTGTTTGTTCCGTTGCCGTGCTGGGCCCTGTGTGAGTCATGGAGCTGCCGAGCTCCCCGCGGGCTCTGGGTGCCGCCGTGGCTCAATGCCGGCTCCGGTCCCTGCTGCCCCCTGCCTGGGACCCAGCACGTGCTGGGAGGCACCGGACGATGGCCCAACTACCTGGGTTCCTGCTGCCCATGTGGGAGACCCAGGTGTAGATCCTGGCTCCGGCTTCAGTCTGGTCCCATCCCAGCTGTCGTGGGCACTTGGGGAGTGGATCAGCGGATGGGCCATCTCTCTGTTTCTCTGCCTTTCAAATAAATAAATCTGTCTCGTGAAAAAAAGAAAAAGAAACAGCAGTTATAAATTCCGGGCTAGGCCCCCCCCCCCCCCCCCGTTGGCTAGAATGTGATTGGCAGGTGTAGGAGCTCAGGTACCTGGCAGGAAGTGAGGGCACAGAGGGTGGTGCCGTGGGTTTTCCGTGGGAAGGCTCTAGCCGGTGAGAATATAGTTGAACCCTCAGGAAAAGCAGGATTCCGGGGCGTCGGCGCAGCCTCACGCTGATGCGTTCCCGGTTTCCTGGGGGCCCGCGCGCTCCTCGGGCCGGCTGCTCTCTGCGTGCTGCTCAGGCGCTCTGTCCGGTGCTGCACTGGAGGGCCGCCCTCCTTCAGTCAGGCCCGCGGGCAGTGGAGGGAGGGCGGAGGGAGGGAGGGCGGAGACCGGCCGGCCGGTGTGAGTGTGCGCCCTGTGGGGCGTCGGGCAGGACAGGGTGGGCGGGGCCTTCCAGAGGCCCCGTGCGGGGGTGGGGAGGGCTGGACGCTGACCCAGGGAGGAGAGTGTGCCGGGCGGCCCGCCCTTTCCTGCCAGGAGGCGGCTGGGCCACGGTGACCATCAGAGAGGGAAGGGAGCTGTGGCCCACAGTGGTGACTAGCGTGTGGGACTCGCGCCCTGAGAGGGAGTGAGAGTGACATGGGCCGAGGGGCAGCGGGCCCAGTCGGGAATGCAGAGGGACGGGCCGAGCCGCTGACGGGCCTGCGAGCCCAGGCGCAGCCGCAGGACCTGCAGCCTGCCCGGGGAGCCGCAGGCTTGGTCTGCACGTCCGAGCGTGAGCACTCAGCCCATCTGCCCCACAGCTTGGGCTCCACCTGCCCTCGTGTCTGCTCCTCACACCCCAGCCTCTGCCCGCTCTGGTCGCCCTGGGCCTGCAGCCCGAGTGCGGGCGTCGGCGACCCCCGCTGCCGTGACTGCCGTACTCCCAGCGCTGCCCTCGCTTAGTGCCGACCGTGCCGGAGCCCTGGAAGGACCTGCGGGCGTCCTGGTCACTGCGCTTACTGCACGAGGCTCTTTCCTCTTAGGAGAGCGTCGCGCAGTGTGAGGTCAGTGCCTGCCTGTGCTCAGCCCGCCGAGGGCGAGGCCCTCCCTGCCCCTCCTCGGGGGTGTGTGTGTGTGTGCGGAAGCAGCTCTGGAAGGGAGAGCTCGCCCGGAGTGTGGGAGGCCCCCGCGGGCGCCCGCGCTGAGGGTTCCTGCTTCCCAGGCCCTCAGGGCTGCGTCACAGGTGATGGTGCTGTTTTTGATCAGCTCAAGCCAGGTCCTCTGGTGTTGAGGACTTCCCTCTCGGGGCCCAGTGTGTTTCCTGGCCGCAGGCCATCGGTCTAGAAGTCTGGCCATTCCGTCCGTCTCTTTCTGGCTGATGGGAGTGAGTCCTCCTGCCCCTGGAGGACCCATGACGTCTGGGGCTGATGGGCCCCAGCCCCCTTGTCAGGTCTCCTCTGCTTCTCCCGGGGTGGTGGCCCAGGAAGTCTCCCTGGGAGCTGAGAGGCCTCACAGGCCCGACGGGCCCTGGCTCGCTCAGGCTCCGTGGGAGGGGAGCACCCAGCAGGGCTGCACAGGGGCCGGCCCTGAGCGCTGCAGCCGAGGCGCGGGAGGGCGGCGGTTCAGCTGGCCTGGCTGGCGCGGGGGCGCGTCCTGTCTCACCGGGGAGTGAGCTGATGTCAGCACCAGTAGGAGACGTGGGGGGGGCGGGGAGCAGGTGGCTGGTGGGAAAGAGGATGGCTGCAGAGTGGGAGATGTCCAGCGCGGGCCTGGCCTCGGGACCCCGCTCCCAGGTAGCAGGAGGGAAGGCGTGCGAGGGGAGACAGGAGGAATGGGCTCCGACCCCGGGCACCTGGCAGAGCCTCTGCTGTGTGTGGTTCTAGGGGGAAGGCAGAGGAGCTGAAGCCTAGGGCTGTGTGGGAAAGGCAGAGACGGGCAGGCCTCTGCTGCATCAGACTGCTGCCGCCGGCCCCCGGACAGGGGCACAGGAGGGCTGTGGGGCCGGGGCGGCCCCGGGGTGTCAGGGCTGAGGCAGCTCTCGGGAGCAGGAGCGGGGAGGAGGGCGGGAGACGTGGCCCCGCATGAGCCTGCTGCTGTCCAGCTGCGGAGGGGCGGATGGAGGTTAGGGTCATGCTTTGGGTGGGCAGCGTTCTGAACCCTGCGGCTTGATGAGGGACCCGCGCGTGTGCCTTGCTGTGCCGTGTGCCCCTGCTGTTCCGCGGGGCGGTGCGCCCTCTGCAGGCGCCCCTGCTTCAGTTGTGTTCTCTGCCTGTGTGTTGACTCGGGGCTTCAGTTGTGGGACATTTCTTCAGTTTCTTAATGAGCAGTGACTCTAAATAGTTGACTTTAAAAATAGCAACGTGTAACTGAGAGAAGCCCCACCCCCACCCCAGTGTGACTGAGAAGTTAAACCGTCAGGGCTGCTCTCCTGTGAGGCCCGAGCGCAGTCCTGGCAGCTGTCAGTGACGCGCGGCCCCTGAGGTCATCGGTGCCTCAGGACCGAGGGAGACAGAGGGGGAGCCTCCTGGGTCGGCCGCTCCCTGCTGCTGGCACGGCTAAGAATTGGGGGTGGGACTGGCGCTGTGGCATGGCAAGTAAAGCCACCACTTGTGACGCCAGCATCCCACGTGGGCGCCGGTTCAAGTCCTGGCTGCTCCGCTTCTGATCCCACTCCTTGCTAATGTGCCTGGGAAGGCAGTAGAAGATGGGCCAAGTGTTTGGGCCCCTGCACCCACGTGGGAGACCCAGAAGAAGCTCCTGACTCCTGGCTTCGGCCTGGCTTGGCCCTGGTTGAAATCTTTACAAGAAAAACAACTGGAGGCTTTACTCGGAGCCCTGGGACACGGGCCCCTGCCTGCCCCGCCTCTCTCACCCTCTGTTTTTCCTGGCCTGCTCACGCCGCTGGGTGTGCTGACGGGAAGTTGAGTCCTGGCACCGACAGTGTCAGAGCCTGTGGAAGCGCTGTTAGTGTGCAGAGAGCCTGCCCGGTGCATGCTGTGCCTTGTGCTCACTGCTCAGGTTCACATAGGAGGATGATTCTGGAGTGTTCTCGCCTCGTTAGCCGGCACGTGCTGCTGGCTGTAGTGTGACGGTGTGTGGATGGGCCTCCGGGGGCAGCCAGCGACGGCCAAACATTGCCACGACAGGTGCTCTCACAGGCAGCTCTCCAGTGAGACAAGTACGTGGAGCTGCTGTGCTGGCGAGGGCACCCAGGCTTCTGCTGGAAACTAGGGTCCCACCTGCAGTTAGAGGACGGCTATGGGGGGCAGAGGTGGGTTGGGAATAGTGCCTGTGGACTCCGCCCACGGGGTCAACTCTGGTTTGAAAGGCCCTGCTTTTCTTGCACTAAAATCGTTTGTGGGGCCAGTGTCGGGGGGCGGGGAGTGGGTAACGCTGCCCCCTGGACGCCAGCATCCCATCTGGGCACCCGTTCACGTCCGGCTGCTCCACTTCCGATCCAGCTCCCTGTTGATGACCTGGGAGAGCAGTGGAAGATGGCCCAAGTCCTGGGCCCCCGCACCTGTGTGGGAGACCAGGAAGAGACTTCTGGCTCCTGGCTTCAGGCTGGCCCAGCCCTGGACGTTGTGGCCACTCTCCACGTTGTGGAGACTGAACCAGTGGATGGAAGCTTGCTTGCTCCCTCCCCTCCCTTTACCCCCCCCCCCCCCCCCCGTGACTTTCAAATAAATAAACAAATCCATCTTTAACAGTAAAGTCAAGTCCTCATTACGTGCAGTTCTCAGATTATACTGGGTGACGGCAGCGTGGTGTCCTTGCTGGGCCTAGAGCTGAGTTAGCACTGTCGCCTGTGTCCTCAGCTGTGGGTGACCGCTGGCAGCCCCTGTGTGCACTCACTGCTGCCGTGAGCCTTGGGCCCGGTGGGTGTGAGGGGTGGGACTCGGACCGAGCTTCTGTGCTTGCGATGAGGCACGGGGTGCTCTTAGCCTTTCCTGGGCTCTGCTGGTTGCCTTAGGCTGGCTGCTCTGGGGGGTGAGCTGCTGGCTGTGGCCCAGGGACACACCTCAGGGGCTCCAAGCAGCTTCTCCACCGCCCTGAGACCCTGGGGACGCCCGGGTCTGCACCCCGTCCTCCAGCAGCATCAGGGCCGCGGCCACCAAGCCCCAGCTCTGTATCTTTTTTTTTTTTTAAGATTTATTTTATTTATTTGAAAGAATTAGAGGTAGGGACAGAGATCTTCCATCCACTGGGTCACTCCCCATTTAGCTGCAATGGCCAGAGCTGGGCCAATCCAGAGCCAGGAGCCAGGAGCTTCCTCCGGGTCTCCCACTGGGTGCAGGGGCCCAAGGACGTGGGCCGTCCTCCACTGCTTTCCCAGGCCATGGCAGAGAGCTGGGTCGGAAGTGGAGCAGCCGGGGCTCGAACTGGCGCCCATGTGGGATGACTTTGTGTCTTTAGCTCTGCACTGTGTGTTCCCTGAACTGTGCGTGTGCCCTCCTGCACTGTGAAACTGAACTGTATCTGTGTACACTGTTTGCTGCAGGGGACCCTAAGTCTGTAAGCACACCCACAGCCTTTGTCATGAAGACCTGCGCTGTGGTCCTGTGCTGGATGTGTGGTGTGGCGTACAACACTGCCCACCTCCTTCTCAGAGCGCCTGGCTTCGAGACCCAGCTCCACTCTCCGTCTTGGCTTCAGTTAACACGCGGGAACTCGAGTGACTGGGTCCCACGCAGGAACCCAGGACGGGAGAGCAGGAGGAGCTCTGGGCTCCTGCTTGGCAGCCCCAGCCGTGGTGAACATCAGGAGTGCCCAGGGGTGGGATGTGTCTTCTCCTCTCGGTCTGGGGCCTTGCACCCTGGCTTCTGTGGTTCCAGAACAGGAATGAGCAGGAGGTAGGCGATGCTGACGGAGGGGAGCCCGGGCCAGATCCCGTGTGTGGACAGGAGGTAGGCGATGCTGACGGAGGGGAGCCCGGGCCAGATCCCGTGTGTGGAGAGGAGGTAGGTGATGCTGACGGAGGGGAGCCCCGGCCAGATCCCGTGTGTGGACAGGAGGTAGGCGATGCTGACGGAGGGGAGCCCGGGCCAGATTCGTGTGTGGAGAGGAGGTAGGCGATGCTGACGGAGGGGAGCCCAGGCCAGATTCATGTGTGGAGAGGAGGTAGGCGATGCTGACGGAGGGGAGCCCACGCCAGATCCCGTGTGTGGAGATCCATTTCTTTGGTCTTGGAAGCATGTGGAGGTGACACCTGCGTGGATGGATTGCAGTCCCAGCGCTGAGCTGAGGTGGGGGAGCTGCAGGAGAATTTTTTTTTTTTTTTGACAGGCAGAGTGGACAGTGAGAGAGAGAGACAGAGAGAAAGGTCTTCCTTTGCCGTTGGTTCACCCTCCAATGGCCGCCGCGGCCGGCACACCACGCTGATCCGATGGCAGGAGCCAGGTGCTTCTCCTGGTCTCCCATGGGGTGCAGGGCCCAAGCACTTGGGCCATCCTCCACTGCACTCCCGGGCCACAGCAGAGAGCTGGCCTGGAAGAGGGGCAACCAGGACAGAATCCAGTGCCCCAACCGGGACTAGAACCCCGTGTGCCAGCGCCGCAGGCGGAGGATTAGCCTAGTGAGCCACGGCGCCGGCCGAGAATTTTTTTGTAAAGATTAATTTATTTGAAAGGCAGAGTGATGGGCAGGGGGAGCGCGAGGGAGCGAGAACTTCCACCTGCTAACTCCCAGATGGCCACAGCAGCTGGGCTGGGCCAGGCCGAAGCCAGGAGCCAGCAGCTCCGTCCGGGTCTCCCACATGGTGGCAGGGGCCCCAGTGCTTGGCCGTCGTCTGATACTTCCCGGGGCCGTTAGCAGGGAGCTCGAACGAGCGCTCAGATGGGATGTCGGGGTTGCTAGGCGGCCGCTGAATCCACTGTGCCAGAGCCAGCCCAGCCTTGCCTGCTCCTGCCAGGGCCAGTGTGCTCGGCCACGCTGCCTCTTGTAGGGGCGAGGCGCTCAGCGTTCCTCTGCCCTGTTCTCGGCCCGTGCCTGACCCCTCACCTCCTCGTAGGCGAGGCGCTCAGCGTTCCTCTGCCCTGTTCTCGGCCCGTGCCTGGCCCCTCACCTCCTTGCGCATCTGTGTGGGCGGCCTCTGCTGGTGGCAGGACCTCGTCATTTACGTCCTGCACGTTTGTCTTTCCCGTTTGCTTTCTTTTTCGAGAGGGAGATAGAGGACCTTCTGCTGGTTCACTCCGAGTCCCTGGCGGTAGCTGAGACGGTGCCAGGCCGGGAGCTGCATCCTTGAGCCACCAGTGCGGCCTCCCTGCGTCCCAGGGAGAAAGAGTGGGCAGCAGGCCAGGTGGTGCCTGGTGGGCCACGGTGGGCCCACACCCTCCCGTCTGTGCTTGGAGGGGAAGGCCCTGACTGTGGGCAGTCCACGTGCTCCACGCCCGAGGTGGTGGTCATCTTAGAAAGACTGACCAGCCACACAGAGCAGCTCCTTACCTGATGCCCGCAGTTTCAGTTACACAGAAAGTGCTGGAAGCGACTTCTCTGTCACAGACTGACACTTGAGGGCAGCTGGGGCACTGCTGGCTGCCCCTTTGTCCTGACCGTGACCCGGTCAGCGACCTCTTGGTGTTGGAGTGGTCACACTCAGTGTTCTGCAGACACAGTGTGCATGGTACTGCACTGTGTGGTCACTGCATGGGTACTGTACTATGTGGTCACTCACTGCATGGGTACTGCACTGTGTGGTCACTGACTACACAGGTACTGCACTGTGGTCACTCACTGCACGGGTACTGCACTGTGTGGTCACTCACTGCTCTGCACGGGTACTGCACTGTGTGGTCACTCACTGCTCTGCACGGGTACTGCACTGTGTGGTCACTCACTGCACGGGTACTGCACTGTGGTCACTGCACGGGTACTGCACTGTGTGGTCACTCACTGCACGGGTACTGCACTGTGGTCACTGCACGGGTACTGCACTGTGTGGTCACTCACTGCACGGGTACTGCACTGTGTGGTCACTCACTGCACGGGTACTGCACTGTGGTCACTGCACGGGTACTGCACTGTGGTCACTACACGGGTACTGCACTGTGGTCACTCACTGCACGGGTACTGCACTGTGGTCACTCACTGCACGGGTACTGCACTGTGGTCACTCACTGCACGGGTACTGCACTGTGTGGTCACTCACTGCACGGGTACTGCACTGTGGTCACTACACGGGTACTGCACTGTGTGGTCACTCCCTGCTATGCACGGGTACTGCACTGTGGTCACTCACTGCACGGGTACTGCACTTTGGTCACTCACTACACGAGTACTGCACTGTGTGGTCACTCCCTGCTCTGCAGACACAGTGTGCACAGGTTTCTGCTCTGTGCTTTGCAACCATCCCCGTGCTCCCCGTATTTGGGGTCCCCATGGATTCCGTGTGTCCAGGAGCTCTTGGCTTTGGAAAGCTTATCACTGCCTGCAGAGCAGACCAGCTGGAGCACATGCCGTGGGTGGTGGGTGGACAGGTGTCGCCTACCTCGCCTTCTCTGTAGCTCCTGCCAGCTGTCAGAACGGTGGCCGTGAGCACTGTTCCCCTGTCCCGTGCTTTCCCTACAGCTCCAGCTATTCCTCCGAGGCTCTGGACTTTGAGACTGAGCACGGATTGGATCCCGTGTTCGATTCTCCCAGGATGTCCCGCCGCAGCCTGCGCTTGGTCACGGCGGCCTACTCCACAGGGGACAGCCAGGCTGTGGAGACCCACACCTGTGCCAGCGGCACAGCCTCCCAGGACAGAGGCGCCAGGTGAGCACTGCTTGGCTTGGTCTTCCCGTGATCCCGACACTGACCCAAACTGAAAAACTGAAAAGAAAAAAAAGTCTGGAAAGCCACACTGTCTTCAGGGGCGTGTGTGCCTGCACGTGTGTGTGCATGCACAGGGTCTACCCTATGAAGTCATGCTTTGCTCTGCTGGTCCTCGCCATCTACGTTCTTGCTGGAGACACTGGGCCGAGACGCCTCGCGATGCGTCTGCTCCAGGGCCATTGTCAGTCTCTGGTGTAGGGCCGCTGCTCTCCTGGGGGGGCTGAGCCTGCGCTGCTGCCACACGCTGAGGCGTCGATGGGCTCTGAGCTGCTGATCTCGTCCGTGACTTCACCCCACGTCTGTGAGTGGCAGGTCTGCACTTGAAGCACAGATGTTTGTTGGGGGCACCGGGCTCTGAACTCTGCCTGTGCCCATCTGTGCCGAGAAGCAGCGAAGATGGAGGGAGCTCATCATCCAAACAGTGAGGTTCCCGGGCCCAGCATTTAGCTCAACCCATGGAGGCAGGTGGGAACGTGGCTCCAACACGTGGCTGCATCAGAACTGCCCCCAGGTGGCCTCCTGCCTGCCACCCAGGACCCCAGGGCCCGGCTCCCTCTGCTGTGGCCACCTGGGGACCTGGCCGCGCTGTTTGGTGTCGCTGCCTTTCCTCACCACCAGTTCCCCAAGCAGGGGCCAGCTCTTGGCCTGTGTCTCTCCACCGCCTGACTTGATGCTGAATTGTCGTGAAATGCTTATTCTTTTTTTTTTCTTCGCGATTTAAAGGCAGTGTTAGACACAGAGAGACCCCTCTACTCCCCAGATGGCTGTATCAGCAGCAGCTGGGCCAGGCCAGAGCCAGGAGCCAGGACCTTCACCTGGGTCTCCCGTGTGGATGCCGGGTCCCAGGACCGGGCCATCTTCCACTGCTTTCCCAGGCACGTCAGCAAGGAGCTGGATCAGAAGAGGAGCAACTGGGACTTGAACTGGCACCCATAGGGGATGCACTGGCCCCCAAAGTGCTTATTCCAGAGGGCTTTGCCACTGTGGCCCTGTGCATGCAGACATGACCTTAGGTCCCCCGCCCACTCCTGCTGTGCCTGATGTAGCTCCGTCTGCACCAGTGACAGAAACACATGTCTGTCTGCAGATACTTGTGTGCAGATCATACCCTTTTATTGGATCATTTTGATTTTTAGGCTGTCATACATTTTGACCACCTTTGAGTCACTGGGCTCAAAATAACCTGAAACCTGTTTTATTTTCTTATTCATTTTGTTTAGATTTTTTTCTAAAATTTTTCTCTTTTATGCTTTTTCCCCTTTTTAACTGTTTTTGGTTATTTTTTTCCCTTTTTGGTAAAGCCTGTTTTATTTTATGTTTACACTTTGAGAGGGAATTCTTGCCCCCCAGCTTGAAATTTCCTCTTTTGGATTGTTTCACGATAGCAGAAAAGAGATAAAATGGTTTTGCTTTAAAATACTGGTTTTTTTGTTGGTAAAATGTAGTAATTTTGTATTTACTGCAAAGTCTATAAACTTAGTTCTCCCCCCCTTTCTATTCAGAACACTAAAACAGCGCAGAAGTGTGAGCAAAGCAGCGTTTAGCATGAACCACACATCACGGAGGACCGCGGTCTCGGGCGCCGACCAGAGTGGCTCCCGCAGTCTGCACGGTGCTGCAGCTCTGCGGCCGCACGTGCTGGACGAGTCCCTGATCCGCGAGCAGACGGAAGTGAACCACTTCTGGGGTGAGTGCCTCCAGGTGCAGGTGGCCCCTCTGCGCTGGTCTGGGAGGAAGGTGGTTGTGGACCATGCTGCCACGACGGTGACATTGGAGGCTTCTGTCCAGGCGCCAGCAGGGAAAGCTCTGGAAGCTGCTTCCAGCTGGAAGATCCAGTACCGCGGCAGGAACCGCTGACTTCCCTGACTGCGTTACCTTGTAGGGTGTTTACGGGGCAGTGTAGGGCTCTGCAGCGTGTCTCTGGAAGGCCCTAAGCAGGCAGCCAGGTCTCCTGGTGCACGGGAAAGTGTTCTGGAGAGGAGGCAGAGGTGCTGAGCAGCACAGAGGGCCTCGCTCGGTGCCTGGAGGCCACACGCACACACAGGCCGCAGCCGGGACCAGCGGCCGAGGAGGCAGAGCTGCTGCTTCCCGTGCAGCTGGGCTCTGGCCGTGCTTTGAGGTCCAGGTTACTTTGAGAGCCATTGGTGCTGACGTCGCTGTTCTGCTCAGCTCGCCAGAGTGGGGCCAGGCCACGGAGGCGCCTGTGCTGTTGTGGGCTGCTGAGAAAACAGGCTTCCTCTGTGTCACCTTGTGCTCCGGCTGCTGTGTGCATGCTTCCACCTTGAAGGCAGTGTGCATGGTTCTGGAGAGGCTCCATTAAGCAGGCTTTGACCAGAGCCATGGTGGTGGTCTTTCCTCATGTACCTCACCTGTGTGGTGGTGCATTCTGTGCTGCCACCAGGGGGCGCTCCACTCAGAACTGTGGGCTCTGTGCTGTCCCCAGGGGGCGCTCCACAGAGAACTGTGGGCTCTGTTACCACCAGGGGGCGCTCTACAGAGAACTGTGGGCTCTGTTACCACCAGGGGGCGCTCTACAGAGAACTGTGCTTTTTTACAGGGCTTGACGACGACGGCGATGTTAAAGGTCAGTGTCTTGGTCCTTTTTCCTCCTCCCACTTTCCCAGTTCCAGCTACATGTCTGCAGATTGTGGTAAACAGGTTCCATCTACTTTTTGGAAACAGGTGGAGGTAAAGCCACCATTCAGGGAAATGGAGACTTGGCAGCGAGGGCTGCCGAAGCCACCGGGCACAACGGGTACACCTGCAGTGACTGCAGCCTGCTCTCTGAGCGCAGGGACGCCCTCACCGCACACCCCACCTCCCGCGTCTATTCTAGGGACAGGACTCAGAAACGTAAGTCTCCGTTTTGAAAAATAGAGAAAGACTCATGTCCACATGTTTGCTTTTTATAAGCCTGATTTACTAGGCCTCAGTGCCGACACTGTTCGTGTCAGGATTAAACTCAAAATTAGCCTTAGGAGTTTGAAGAAGAAGTACACCAAACATGTTTAGCTTTGTCCTGATTATCCTCTCAGCTTAGGATTTTTTATGCTGTTTTTATACTTACAACACATGGGGTCCTGTAAACTGGCCTCTGTGAGCAGAAGGAAGGTCCTCGCTCACATGAAACGGCAGTGACTTTCAAGCCGTGTGGATGTTCAGGTGTCCTCACGGCAGCTTTGCAGCGGCTGCAGGCCACTGGTGCCGAGGGCACTTGGGCCGCATCCATCCCCGCTGCAGGGAGCCCATGCCATCCCGGCCACACAGTGGCGCTGCAGGGAGCCCGTGCCCTCCCGGCCACACAGTGGTGCTGCAGGGAGCCCGTGCCCTCCCGGCCACACAGTGGCGCTGCAGGGAGCACATGCCCTCCCGACCACAGGGCGGCGCTGCAGGGAGCCCGTGCCCTCCCGGCCACACAGTGGCGCTGCAGGGTGCACGTGCCCTCCCGGCCACACGGCGGCGCTGCAGGGAGCACGTGCCATCCCAGCCACACGGCGGCGCTGCAGGGAGCACATGCCCTCCCGGCCACACAGTGGCGCTGCAGGGAGCACATGCCCTCCCGGCCACACAGTGGCGCTGCAGGGAGCACATGCCCTCCCGGCCACACAGTGGTGCTGCAGGGTGCACATGCCCTCCCGGCCACACGGCGGCGCTGCAGGGAGCCCGTGCCATCCCAGCCACACAGTGGCACTGCAGGGAGCACATGCCCTCCCGACCACACAGTGGCGCTGCAGGGAGCACATGCCCTCCCGGCCACACAGTGGCGCTGCAGGGAGCCCGTGCCCTCCCGGCCACACAGTGGTGCTGCAGGGTGCACATGCCCTCCCGGCCACACGGCGGCGCTGCAGGGAGCCCGTGCCCTCCCGGCCACACGGCGGCGCTGCAGGGAGCACGTGCCCTCCCGGCCACACGACAGTACTACAGGGTGCCCATGCCCTCCCGGCCACACGGCGGCGCTGCAGGGAGCACGTGCCCTCCCGGCCACACGACAGTACTGCAGGGAGCACATGCCCTCCCGGCCACATGGCGGCGCTGCAGGGAGCCCGTGCCCTCCTGGCCACACAGTGGTGCTGCAGGGAGCCCGTGCCCTCCTGGCCACATGACAGTACTGCAGGGTGCATGTGCCCCCCCCCCCCCCCCCCCCCCCCCGCCCCCCGGCCACACGCGGTACGTTTCTGTAGCAGCCGTGGGGACTTACGGCGACACGCGGTTCCGCAGGCTGTTGGGGCTCCTGGTGCAGTCTGGACTGGCAGTGGTCCTTGCAGGTGCTCATGGTGGCCGTCAGCATCCTGAGTGCAGCTCTTGGGCACCGGCTGGAGAGGCCTGTGCTGCCGCCGCCGGAGGGCGAAGCGCAGACCCGTGTAGGTGCCCTGGGACTCGGCCCCCAGCCTGCGAGGTCCGTGTGCCCGGCCTCGTGGGGTCCACTCTGCTGTGTCAGTGCCGCAGGCTGCAGGAGAGGGGCCTGGGTCTCCGCTGCCAGCCCGCTGTGCCTGTGCGGGGGAGTGGCACAGGGCTGTGGGGGAGTCCTCGCGGTCTGTTTTACATCTTTATTTTTAGTGTCTGTGACCAGAGCTGCTGGTTTTGTGTGCTGTGGCACCGTTCAGAGTGACAGCGGAGGGACGGCAGAGGCACGGTGCCGTGTGGCTGCTGTCACCCTGAGGACGGACACGCGTGGGGAGGGACAGAGGAGGGACGGCAGAGTCACGGTGCCGTGTGGCTGCTGTCACCCTGAGGGCTGGCACACGTGGGGAGGGACGGCAGAGGCACGGTGCCGTGTGGCTGCTGTCACCCTGAGGGCTGACGCGCGTGGGTTCGTCGTGCTGGGCCTGCAGATGAGTGATAGGTGCAATGAGTGGGGGCCTTGCTGCTCGTGCCTGCGACACCTCAGGACCGGGCACTGTTCGCACATCTGTGGTCTGTGCTGTTGGGGCCGGCGCTGTGGCATGGTGGGTAACACTGCCGTCTGCAGTGCCGGCATCCCATACGGGCACCAGCTCCAGTCCCGGCTGCTCCACTTCCAATCCAGCTCTCTGCTGTGGCCTGGGAAAGCAGTAGAAGATGCCCAAGTCCTTGGGCCCCTGAACCCACGTGGGAGACCCGGAGGAAGCTCCTGGCTCCTGGCTTCAGATCAGCACAGCTGCGGCTGTTGCGGCCATCTGGGGAGTGACCCAGCGGATGGAGGACCTCTCTCTCTCTCCTTCTCTCTCTGCCTCTCTATGTTTCTCTCTCTCTCTGCCTCTGCCTCTATAAATCTGCCTTTCAAATAAATAAATCTTTAAAAGATTTTTAAAGTTAAAAATCAATTTATATTTAAAAGAAAAAAAAGTTAGAAGGGAGTGCTATTTCCAGGATGAGCCCAGCGTTCTTCGTAGAGCGAGAGTCGTTGCTGCTGTGGCCTGGGCACCCTGCAGACGCCCTCGCTGCTCCCCTGGCCGCCTCCTGCTCACAGCGAGTGCTGTGTGCATCTCTCACCAGCTGCCCTGTGTTCTGAGGGCCTGGGGCTCGGCCTGGCAGCTGGGCTCCCCGAGGCAGGGCCCCCCCGGCAGGGCGTGCGTCACTGGGCCTGAGGCGTAGACCTTCCAGCTCCTACCACCTCCCTTACTCTGTTTTGTGTGTGTGTGTGTGTGTGTGTGTGTGTATTTACATGTTTGTTTATTTATCTGAAAGCCAGAGTTACTGCGGGGAGGAGACAGAGATCTAACGGCTGCTGATTCAGTCCCCAAAAGGCTGCAACAGCCAGAGCTAGGCCAGTCTGGCCAGTGTGAGGCCAGGAGCTTCCTCCGGGTCTCCCACACGGGTGCAGGGGCCCAAGGACTTGGGCATCTTCTGTGCTTTCCCAGGCCACAGCAGAGAGCTGGATCGGAAGTAGAGCAGCCGGGACTGGAGCTGGTGCCCGTATGGGGTGCCAGCGTCCCAGGCAGTGTCTGTACCTGCTAGCCACAGCGCCAGTGCTGACTCACTGCGCTGGGGAACCCGTGCTGCCCATGTGAGGTGTGCAGAGCCCAGGCGTGGGTCTGCCACAGCTCCCCTGTCGCACAGGTGAGCTCGCTGCGCAGGAGCTGTTGGGTGGCTGTTCGCTGCTGCATAGTCACTTCTCCTCCACGGCCCTCGCTTCTGGGGACGTTGTCCTTGTGAGACGTATGCATGACACGGAGGGAGGAAGCCCTCAGCCCAGCTGTGTGCCCCTATGAATTCCTCTGCTTGCTTGTTTTTTTTTTTTGTTTTTTTTTTTTTTAATATTTATTTATTTGAAAGAGTTACTCAGAGACAGAAGGAGAGGCGGGGGGGGGGGGGGGGGGTCTTCCACCCACTGGTTCACTCCTCAATTGGCCACAATGGCCAGAGCTGCACCGATCAGGAGCCAGGAGCTTCTTCCAGGTCTCCCGTGCAGGGGCAGGGGCCCAAGGACTTGGCCATCTTCCACTGCTTTCCCAGGCCACAGCAGGGAGCTGGATGGGAAATGGAGCAGCCGGGACTTGAACCGGCGCTCCTGTGGGATGCCGGCACAGCAGGTGATGGCTTTACCCACTAAGCCACAGCGCCAGCCCCATCTGCTTGTTTTTGATGAGGGAAAGTGCATAGACGTGGAACTCGGGGTGATGTATGTGAACTGTCGCGGCGTGGAGAACTCGTGCAGTGCTGAGCCTCTCCTGAGTCTGCCGCGTGGCCCTGCTGGGCTCCTTAGCTCTCTGTGTCCTAGCGGAGGGGCACCACGAGGTCGCGGTGCACAGCTTTGGTTTATGTGTTGAGGTAGCTCCTGTCTAATACTAGACGTATGGTTGTGTCCAGATGTAATCGGTTCTTGGGTGAACGTTCAGGTTCGTCGTCCGCCGTGGAGAGCACTGTCTGGGTGTGTGTTGGTGCGTGTGTGTTTATGTGTTGGAGCGTGTGTGTGTGCGTGTTGGTGCATGTATGTGTGCTGGTGTGTGTGTGTGCTGGTGTGTGTGTTGTGTGTGTGCTGGTGCATGTATGTGTGCTGGTGTGTGTGTGCTGGTGTGTGCGTGTTGGTGCATGTGTATGTGGTGGTGTGTGTGTTGGTGCATGTGTGTTTGTGTGCTGGTGTGTGTGTTGTGTGTGTGCTGGTGCATCTGTGTGTGTTGGTGCGTCTGTGCTGGTATGCGGATGTGTGTGCTGGTGTGTGTGTGCTGATGTGCGGGTGTGTGTGTTGGTGTGTCTGTGTGTGTGCTGGTATGCAGGTATGTGTGCTGGTGTGTGTGTGTGTGCTGATGTGCGGTGTGTGTGCTGGTGTGTGTGTGTGTGTGCTGAGGTGCGGGTGTGTGCTGGTGCGTCTGTGTGTGTGGGTGCGTCTGCTGGTATGCAAGTGTGTGTGCTGGTGTGTGTGTGTGCTGATGTGCGAGTGTGTGTGTGCGTCTGTGTGCTTGTATGCAAGTGTGTGTGCTGGTGTGTGTGTGTGCTGATGTGCGAGTGTGTGCTGGTGCATCTGTGTGTGTGTGGGTGCATCTGTATGCTGGTATGCGAGTGTGTGTGCTGGTGTGTGTGTGTACTGGTGCATCTGTGTGTGTGTTGGTGTGTCTGTGTGCTGGTATGCGAGTGTGTGTGCTGGTGTGTGTGTGTGCTGGTATGCGAGTGTGTGTGCTGGTGTGTGTGTGCTGGTGTGCAAGTGTGTGTGCTGGTGTGTGTGTGTGCTGATGTGCGAGTGTGTGTGCTGGTGTGCAAGTGTGTGTGCTGGTGCATCTGTGTGTGTGTGGGTGCGTCTGTGTGCTGGTATGCGAGTGTGTGTGCTGGTGTGTGTGTGTGCTGGTGCATCTGTGTGTGTGTTGGTGCGAGTGTGTGTGCTGGTGCGTCCGTGTGTGTGCTGGTACACCGAGCAGAGCTGTCCTGTGCGCGTCCCACGCCAGCAGGCTGTGCCCCCACCGCCAGGCTGCCCCCAGCAGAGTGAGGGTCTCCTCCCGCGTCCTCTCAGCGGTTCCTAACATTCTCGTTCTTTTTGAATCCTGCAAGTTGATGGTGAGAACTGGGTTGTAAGACTGCCCATGCATTGCACCTTCTGTGTGCTTATTTGAAAGGCAGAGTTGGGTCCTCGTCTGCTGGCTCACTCCCCAGGTGGCCTCAGCAGTCTGGGCTGGGCCAGGCAGGAGCCAGGATCCGGGAGCTTCTCCCAGGTCTCCCACGAGGGTGCGGGGCCAAGCGCTTTCCCGGGCTTCGCTGCTGCTTGCTCCCGCGCGTTAGCAGGGAGCTGGACAGTGCGCCGAGCAGCCGGGCCTTGGACCAGCGCCTGCTGGGATGCCCGTGCTGCGGGCGATGGCTTAGCCTCTGTGCCGCGGCGCCCGCCCCTGGCGCATTACCTTTTTTTTTTTTTTTAAAGATTGTATTTATTTATTTTGAGATGTAGAATTACAGACAGTGAGAGGGAGAGACACAGAGAAAAGTCTTCCCTCCGTTGGTTCACTCCCCAAAGGGCCGCAATGGCTGGAGCTGTGCCGACCCAAAGCCAGGAGCCAGGAGCTTCTTCCGGGTGGGTGCAGGGGCCCAAGCACTTGGGCCATCTTCCACCGCTTTCCCAGGCCATCAGCAAGGAACGGGATCAGAAGAGGAGCAGCCGGGACTCGAACTGGTGCCCATGTGGGATGCCAGTGCCACAGGCGGAGGATTAACCTACAGTCTCACGGCGCCGGCCCCAACGTTACCTTTTAATGATGTTTTCTTTTTTGCAGCCTCCGTACAAACTATCCTGCGGTGTGAACAGCGTTGGTCCTAGGGCTGAAGTCTTGTTTTATGTGTTTGAAATCACTTCGGCTCAGACCTCACTGATCCCTGCTGGGCGGGGGTGGGGGTCGGAGTGGAAGAGCTGCGTCTGGTGCCCCCCACAGCCCGGCTCCTTTTCAGGCCCGGAAGTTCCTGGCAGCTGTGGCTGGGGGCGTCGGTGCACACAGAAGTGGGGGCTGGTGCGGAGTCGCGTGGCCGTGTGCCCACGTGGGAGGTGTGGGTCGGGGTCTGCTGAGCAGAGCTGCCTGGTGTGCGTGTGAGCCCGGGGGGGCGCTCCAGCTGCACCCCTCCCCCCACCATCAGTCTGGCTCTGCCCACGCTGAGTCGGCGTTCATGTTATACATTGTTTGCCTGCTTCACCTGGACGAATGGTGTGTTTCCTGGCTCACCAGGGGAGAAATAACGTGTGTTCACGGTTTTGTAGGCGGCGCGTCGTCCCACACGGACAGGATCCTGTGGCTGGCCAAATGCACTTCGTCGTCTTTGTCATCATTCTTAGTTCAGCTTTTTCACGTGGTTTTGATGAAGCTCAATTATGAATCAGAAAATTACAAATTGAAAAGTTATGAATCGAAAGCTTATGAATCAGAAAGCTTTGAGTCAGAGAGCCGTGAAGTCCACAGGTACTTACGTCGTCGTCTCCTCCCTTTTCCACCAAACTCTGCTTCCAGGTGGAGAAGCTCCGCTTTGCCTGGGCCGCGCGGCCCTGCGCCCTCTCCCGGCGGCCGGCTGCGGTTCCTCTCGGCCGCAGGAGCTTGGGGCAGTCTCTGCCTGCTCTGTGTGCAGCTTTTTCTGAAAGTTGATGGATGTTTAAACATTGAAGCAAAGATAGTTGACCTGAGCGATGCTTAGAACCATGCTGGTCTGTGCGTGGGAGGCGGCAAGCCTGGCGTGGCCGCGGCGTGCCGGCCGTGGGACTGGCTAAGCCTCTCTCGCGTGTGTTGCAGCTCATGCCAGTTGCTATGGGAGCCTGAATGTGACAGAGTTTCTCGGCGAGGACGGCCACCTTGGTGGGCGCGGGGCGTCGCTGTGTAAGTATGGCGTCCCTGTGCGTGTGGGGCAGCGGGTCCTGCAATGGGTGCCTCACGCGCTGTGACGTGGAGCACGGAGACAAGAGGCCATGGTCCCGGGACTGTGGGCAGCAGCCACGTGGCACCTAGTGGCAGGACCGTCCCCGCCCGGGGCGTCGGCTGTGGTTTTCGTGTGGAGTTGGGCTCCTGGCTTTGTCCAGTTGCGACTGTTGCGTATTAATCGTGCTTCACTGCTTGTCACCACGCCCGCAGGCAAGGACGGTGAGGGGACGCGGCGCCTTGAGACACACGCGGCCACCCATTCGCAGTCGTCCGGGCCACGCCGCGTGGCAGGGACCGTGGGGCGCCTCTGTGCCTGTGCAGGTTGTCTCTCACCCCTCCTCATTCTTGTACCCTCTCCCTCGCTCCGTGCAGGTTGTTTCCCCACCCCCCCTTGTCAGGGCTCTCTCACCACCCCTTGTCCTCGTGGCCCCCCGCTCCTTGTCAGGTCTCTCTCACCCCCCCTTGTCCTCGTGGCCCCCCCCTCCTTGTCAGGGCTTCCTCACCCCCCTGTTGTCCTCATCCCCCTCCCCCCCGCTCCCTGTCGGCTCTGTGTTTGCTGTCCCAGAGCCCAGAATCCCCTGGGAAAACAGACAGCAGTGTGTAGCCGTCTGGAAGAGCGCCTTAGCAGGTTACGTGGTGTGAGGGGGTGTGTGGACCGGTTTATTGGAGGTGAGACGTGAGTCAAGAGAAGGCCGATGGCCGGCCGCCAGGGCTGTCTGCCTGGCCCGTCCCTGCGGGGCACTGAGGGTCTCCTGCTTAGCCCCGTCGCTCTTCCTCTAGGCGCTGGTATTAAAAAGCTGAGCTTAAGGCCGGCTCTGCGGCTCACTAGGTTAATCCTCCGCCTTGCGGCACCGGCACACCGGGTTCTAGTCCCGGTTGGGGCGCTGGTTCTGTCCCGGTTGCCCCTCTTCCAGGCCAGCTCTCTGCTGTGGCCAGGGAGTGCAGTGGAGGATGGCCCAGGTCCTTGGGCCCTGCACCCCATGGGAGACCAGAAGTACCTGGCTCCTGCCATTGGATCAGCACGGTGTGCCGGCCGCAGCGCACTGGCTACGGCGGCCATTGGAGGTGAACCAACGGCAAAAGGAAGACCTTTCTCTCTGTCTCTATCTCTCACTGTCCGCTCTGCCTGTCAAAAAAAAAAAAAAAAAAAAAAAAAAAAAAAAAGCTGAGCTTAAAAGTAATTCTGTTCTAACTATTAATCACAAAACAGTGATTTTTAAACAATCCTTGTGAACTGTGTCCTTGCACGTCAGCCGTGTTGACGTCTCCTGGTGGTCTCAGGGACAACTTCAGATGTTAATGAGCGCACGGCCTTGAGCAGCCGCTTCGTTTCCTGGGTGTTTCCTGCCTCTGTGCTGTGTGGGGCTTGCTGTCATGTTGACTGTGTTGTGTCCAGGGACCACGTTACCCTTCCCAAGTTCCTGGCTCTCAGAAGCGGTCAGTCCTTACTACGGCTTTCACGCTGGTCTCTGCGTCATCGCGTTCACACCGGGGCGTGTGGACCGCTGGTGTCTGCAATCTCAGTACATCCTGGTAGCCCCCACGCAGCGCCCCCACGGTGGACGCTGGACGTGCACCTCCCGTGTACTCATCGGCGGGTGGAGGGTGGAGACCCCAGCAGTTGTCCTGAGTGGTCCCAGGGAGACGGAGCTCAGACCTGGAGTGGTTCTTTCTGAGCAGAGGCCCCACGGCCTGCGCGTCCCATCCCTGGGCGGAGCGGGGGAGGCGGGCGCCTTGCCTGTGGCTCACGTGTCTCCTGTGCCGCAGGTCCCCTCCTGGTGCAGACGCTGCAGAGGGTCGGAGCTGCAGGTTGCCGCGTGTCCAGGACGCTGTGGTCCGTTCTGTGGCTGGCCCTCGCGACTCCAGGTGGTTGTTGACCTCTCTGTTAACACTCTGGCCAGGGCTGGTGGCAGTGAGCACTGCAGGGAACGCCGTCTTTAACATACAACCCGTCTCTGCCTGCGCTCTGTTCTGTGCTGGCCGGCTCGCTCCTTGCCAACCAGAGACGCTCACACACAGACGGCTTGGGCTGCGTGAGCACTCGTCCCGTCGGTGGCGGGGCGTGTCAGTCCAGCTGCCCGACCTGGGCAGAGGAGAGCGCGCGGACTTGGGCCTGTCCCTGTGCCCTGTGCGCGTGTGCCGATGTCCTGCCGTGATGGAACCCTCCTCTTCACGCGCTTTGAGTGCCTGCTTGTGACCTCCCTGTGCCTCCGGCTGGGCCTTCCCAGGAACGGTCCGTGGGGAGCCTGGTTCCTGCAGGACGCTCCCCCGACTCTCCGTGCTCTCTTGCAGGGAAGGCAGCCTCTGGCGTGTTCTGGTGGCTGGGGATCGGATGGTACCAGTTTGTTACTTTGGTTTCCTGGCTGAATGTGTTTCTTCTGACAAGGTAAGGAAACTGGCCTGTCAGTGCTGTTTGAAAGAAACAGTGCTGTGCCAATGGCCAGCTGTCTGACTGACTGACTGATTGATTTTAAGAATTTTTTTTTGTTTTTGTTTAAGAAATTTTTTTTTGTTTTTGACAGGCAGAGTGGACAGTGAGAGAGAGAGACAGAGAAAGGTCTTCTTTTTGCTGTTGGTTCACCCTCCAATGGCCGCTGCGGCCGGCGCACCGAGCTGATCCGATGGCAGGAGCCAGGTGCTTCTCCTGGTCTCCCATGGGGTGCAGGGCCCAAGCACCTGGGCCATCCTCCACTGCACTCCCTGGCCACAGCAGAGAGCTGGCCTGGAAGAGGGGCAACCGGGACAGAATCCGGCACCCCAACCGGGACTAGAACCCGGTGTGCCGGCGCCACAAGGTGGAGGATTAGCCTATTGAGCCATGGCACTGGCCAATTTTAAGATTTTTTTCTTTGAAAGAGTTACAGAGAGGAGAGGTACAGAGAGATTGGTTCTCTCCCCAAATGACCACAACCGCCAGGCCTGAGCCAGGCTGAAGCCAGGAGCTTCCTCCGGGTCTCCCACGTGGGTGCAGGGGCCCAAGCACTTGGGCATCTTCTGCTGCTTTCCCAGGCCATCAGCATAGAGTTGAGTGGGAAGTGGAGCAGCCGGGACTTGAAACTGCTGTCCACACGGGTGCCGGGGCTGCAGGCAGCGGCCCCTGTGATCCCTGTCTTACACTGACACATCTCTTCACGTAGTCCCTAAGCGCTGTGTGTTTTATGAAGCACTTGCATGTTCCTATTCTACACCCACCTGCGAGATGGGAAAGAGTAGGTGTTGTTCAGAAAACCGGGGGCGGCGCTGTGCACACTCACTTGTTCCTCCACCTGCGGTGCCGGAATCCCATGTGGGCGCCAGTTTGAGTCCCGGCTGCTCCACTTCAAATCCAGCTCTTGACTGTGGCCTGGGAACGCAGTGGAGGATGGCCCAACTCATTGGGCTCCTGCACCCACGTGGGAGACACGGAAGAAGCTTCTGGCTCCTGGCTCCTGGCTTTGGATCGGCGCAGCTCCGGCCAGTTGTGGCCATCTGGGGAGTGAACCAGTGGATGGAAGACCCCCCCCCCCAATCTTTAAATCTTAAAAAAGAAAAAAAGAAGCGTGTGTGGAAGGGGTGGCGGTGGATGCACTGTGCGGGAGGCAGGATGAGGCTTGTGCAGCCCCTGGGCTGGGGTCAGGAGTCCCAGGACCCTTCCCATGGGGCCAGTGGGCGCCCTGCGCATTAGCAGCCAGCAACCTAGATTGTTAACCTGGGGCTGGATGACTCCATCTTATAGGGTTTTTTCTTAAGAACACTTTAAGGAAAAAAAAAGGTTTACTTATTTGAAAAGTAGGGTTGTACAGAGATCTTCCATCCACTGGTCTGCTCCCCACCGTGACCAAAACGGCCAGGGCTGGGCCAGGCCAAAGCCAGGAGCCGGGAGCTTCTTGCAGGTTTCCCACATGGGCACAGAGGCCAAAGTGCTTGGGCCATCCTCCACTGCTTTCCTAGGTGCATTACAGGGAGCTGGATGAGAAGTGGAGCAGCTGGGACTCGAACTGGCACCCGTATGGGATGCTGGTGTCACAGGCGGCAGCTTAACCCACTATGCCAGAGAGCTCCCACCCAGTGGTTCACTCCCCCAAAATGCCTGCAGCAGCCAGGGCAAAAATGGGAGCCACCTGAGAGCTGAGAACCCGCTTACTCGAGCCGAGCATCACTCCTGCCTCCCACGGTCTGCATTAGCAGGGAGCTGGGGGCAGGCGTCACACCCCAAACAGGGAGTCGGCATTGTCACCCAGCACCCCCAAGGGTGCGTGTCTGCCAGACTGCCTCCTGTGGGCGCCCAGAGGGGGGCCTGTGGCAGGCTAGCAAGCAGCCGCAGCTCTGATGCCGGGTGTGCCGGGGGAGGAGACACGGGGGAGCGCTGCTTCCAGTCTCTGCACGTTCATGCTTCCGTTTTATTCCCAGGTGCCTTCGAAATATTTGCAAGTTTTTCCTGTTGCTCATCCCACTGTTGCTTTTCCTTGGTGAGTACGGGTCAGGTACTCTGTGCACAGGAACACGTGACGAGGCTGCGGCTGCGGATCAGCCCCGGGACCGGCGTGCCCACGTGTGATGCTGTCTGTCTCCCTGCAGGTGCCGGCCTCTCCCTGTGGGGCCAGGGCGGCTTCCTCGCCTCCTTGCCTGTGTTCAGCTGGCCAGACCTGCAGAGGACACAGAAGGCCGATGACCCCAGCAACGTGTTCGGACCTGAAACCTCCCGCCTGGACCCGCCTCCGGGGGTGAGCCCCGCCTCCCCCTCGTGGCCCCGCACAGGCACAGTCAGGCGAGTTGGACAGCTCACGTGGTGTCTGGTCACAGTGACCCCATTGTTCAGTTAATTTTGATTTTAAAAACTTCATAGCATTCATTATTTTGCAAAGTGCAAGGTGTCTTAAAGTTCACGAACAATTTATAATGTGAAAAACAGGCATGGATTTCAAAGATAATCTTTTAATTCATTTTCCCGTGAGCATTTTGAAACACCTTCATGTATATGTAGAAGAAAATGAAATCCACTCAAGGTCACATCAGGTCAGGATAATTGCAATTTATTAGGGCTTTAGTCTTTCCCTTTGTTTGCCCTACGGCTGGCATCTTGGTGCCGTGTATGGTGTGGGTTGGTTTTTTAATTAACAGACACAGAGATCACCCATGGGCTGGTTGATTTTCCAGTGGGCCAGGCTGGAGGAAAGCCTGGGGCTGGGAACCCAATCCAGCAGGGCGCCGGTCACGCCGGCCATCACCGCTGCATCTCAGCAGGCAGCTGCAGCGGGGACAGAGCCAGGACACGCCAGGCCTCTGACACAGCGTGCGTCAGCCGCTGCGCCACACGCAGCCACTCGTGTTTCTGCTTCCTGCTTTCCAGGGCGATGACAGGGCGTCCCAGTGGCACTGGATGAGTGGCGTGGATCAGCAGATGGCTTCTCTGGCTGGCTGGTGCCACACACATGACGAGCAGCTCCGGGGGCTGACACTGACCCTCCAGAAGCTGCAGGCGCGGGTGGACCGGCTGGACGAGGGCCGGACAGGGCTGTCCTCGTGGGTGAAGGACGTGGTCGGGCAGCAGCTGCAGGAGGCGGAGGCTGCCAGGCTGCCGGGCACTCAGGTAGGGTCCTGGGGTCCCTGAGTGCCGTGTGCTGCTCGGGGGCTGCGGGGTCCCCCAGGAGTGAAGGGACGGAGTCTGGTGGTCATGGAGAGAGGTGGCCTTTGCATTCCGTGCTGTGACCCGTCCCCGGGGACGCAGGGCACTCCAGCGTGGGGTGTGGACTTCCCACGGGACGCCGTGGCCACGGTCCCCGGGGACGCAGGGCACTCCAGCGTGGGGTGTGGACTTCCCACGGGACGCTGTGGCCACGGTCCCCGGGGACGCAGGGCACTCCAGCGTGGGGTGTGGACTTCCCATGGGACGCCATGGCCACGGTCCCCGGGGACGCAGGGCACTCCAGCGTGGGGTGTGGACTTCCCACGGGACGCTGTGGCCACGGTCCCCAGGGACGCAGGGCACTCCAGCGTGGGGTGTGGACTTCCCATGGGACGCCATGGCCACGGTCCCCGGGGACGCAGGGCACTCCAGCGTGGGGTGTGGACTTCCCACGGGACGCTGTGGCCACGGTCCCCAGGGACGCAGGGCACTCCAGCGTGGGGTGTGGACTTCCCACAGGAGGCCGTGGCTGTGGCCTGTGCCAGACACGGCCCGTCCCGGTGTCTGGTGCCCCGTGCAGGGGTGGCCAGGCCCTCTTGCTGTTGCTGACTGTCTCCCCCCATCTGCTTTCCAAGGCTGACTTCACGGCTTTGCATCGAGAACACGAGGTGCGCATCTCTGCCTTGGAAGGGCTCCTCGGAAAACTGGCAGGAGAATCCGAGGTATTCCTTGTCCGCCTGTGCAGTCAGTGCTGCAAGGGCCCCGTCTGCTGTTCCATTATAAAAATCCAAGCATGTTCTGACCGTCCCTTTTCCCTAGAGCGCTGTTGCTCTAGTGTGTCGGGTGTGCCAACGCCCTGGCCCCGGGCGGCCCCGCGGGTTCCCATGTGGGTGTCAGCCGGCACCACCAGGGTGCACTGTCTTCAGGTGGAGAGTGGAGGGCCCGGCTCTGTGGACGGACACTGGGATCTGGGCGGGAAATCCTGCCGTCGTGGGAGGGGCGGGGCCTGGCGCCTGGGCGCTCGCCTCTGCTCGGGCAAGTGGAGGCTAAGGAGCCTCAGTGAAGTGGAGCGCAGGCCCTGGGGGCTCCGGGGACAGCTCCCGCGGGATGGACCCTGTTGGCCAGGCACGGTCAGCTGAGAGGCAGGGTCTGAGCCCGCCTCCTTGTGGGGCCTGGCCCTGGGTGGATTGGCAGGCCGGGCCAGCACCCCCCGCAGTGTCTGCCCTTCTGAAGGCTGCTTCTCTGACTGTGGGGACGGTCGCATCTGCCGCAGTGCACTCTGGGAAGCAGAGCCAGCGTCCGCCACGGCTAGCCCGCAGGCAGATGTGCCCTGACTTAGGTGGGGGGTTCCAGCCCGTCAGGTGACGTCAGTGTGTGACCTGTGTCTCATTCTCTCAGGCCATCCAGAGGGATCTCGAACAGGCGGAGCTCAGGACAGCAAGGTAGGCCCCCTGGCCGGCGCAGTCTGCGTCGGGGCGGCAGCGGGATGGCGGGAGCTGACCCCACGTCCCTGGCGTCACCTGCGTGTTTGGGCCTTGTGGGGGCACTCCCTGCGGTGCGCCTGGGCCCCTGCAGGACCGTGGTGGGCGGGGCCTGAGGAGCTGACCACGTCCTCTGACGAGGCACCACGTTTGTGTCCACCCTGCCCGCGCTGAGGGTGCAGAGTCCCTCGGGGAGCAGATTGACGGGGCCCTTGTGGGAGCTCCCGTCACGGGGACCCTCTGCTGGCACTGCTGACCTAGCAGCGGAGCCTGAGCTTCGGCCCAGCCACGGCCCCCTCAGCAGCCTCCCTGAGGACGGGCACTTAGCTCTGGGCAGTCTGTGCCGGCCTTGCGGCTGTAGCCCGTCTGCACCTGGACCAGTGCTGCCCGTGCCTTTGCCGTCTGAACAGCCCGATCCCTCTGCCGTTTCGGGTCCCTTTGTCCTGAGCTTTGTCCGCTCGAGTCCCCGCTGTGGACAGCGGTGCCACTGGGCTGCGTCTGTTCCATGCCCTGAGTGGGGTGCGCCTGCCCCCCTGTGCCTCCCTCTCCGGCCCTCCTTTGGTGCTGGCCTGTGTCCTCCCGTCCGTCACGGCTTCAGCCCTGTGCACCCTCCGTGAGGGCCTGCACATTTCACTCTGCATCCAGCCTGTGGGGGGGCCGCGGGCGGGCCTCGAGGTCCAATCAGCCTGCGGCAGGCGCAGGCTCCCTTTTAGGCGGGTGACTGTGGTCCAGATGGCCCCTGGAGGTTAGAGCTGTTCTGGTCCAGCGAACAGCTCGGGGTCCTGCTGATAGGGCAGCCCAGGTGTGGGACGCACTTGCCATCCTCCCAGCAGCCGTCTGCACGCGCACACACACACGCACACACACATGCAGTGGGTGGTGTCCAGTCTACACGCCGGCCTCCCAGCAGCCGTCTGCACGCACACACGCACACACACACGCACACACACATGCAGTGGGTGGTGTCCAGTCTACACGCCAGCCTCCCAGCAGCCGTCTGCACGCGCACACACGCACACTGCACACACACATGCAGTGGGTGGTGTCCAGTCTACATGCCGGCCTCCCAGCAGCCGTCTGCACGCACACACACACACGCACACTGCACACACGCAGTGGGTGGTGTCCAGTCTACATGCCGGCCTCCCAGCAGCCGTCTGCACGCGCACACACACACGCACACTGCACACACGCAGTGGTTGGTGTCCAGTCTACACGCCTCTGTGATGGTTACACAACCCTGAGGGATACGTTCTGCAGTTTTCTGTGGGTTAGCATGAAAATTTGATTTAATTTTTTGGTAATTATTGCCGAGTACCGTCCTACTTGGTGAAGGTTTCTAACTTCAGGGGAATCGTTTGGAACACCCCGTGGTTTTCAGAGTCCTTCACGGGCACTGAGCGATGACCACTTGGCGGCACTTTATTAGCTGAGCTGCAGCGGGGCACGCGTCTCCTCAGATGTGCCCCTCGGGCGTCTGAGACACAGGGCAGGCTGTGTGCTTACAGCGCTGACCATCTGGGAACACGCCTGCCATGGCATGTGCTGTCCAGGGACGTGCACCGTTTGGGAGCACACATCTGTGGCGTGTGCTGACCATCTGGGAACATGCTGCCCGTGGTGTGCACTGACCAGGGACATACATGTCTGCTGTGTGCTGACCATCTGTGGGGTGCATTGAGAACACACATGTCCATGGTGTGTACTGACTGGGAACATTTGTGTCCGTGGCACGTGTGACCGAGAACACCTATATCCGTGGCTGTGTGACTGGGAACACGTGTGTCTGTGGTGTGCACTGACTGGGAACACGCGTGTCTGCAGTGTGTGTGACCAGGAACACGTGTGTCTGTCGTGCACTGACTGGGAGCACATGTCTGCAGTGTGTGTGACCGGGAACACGTGTGTCGCTGCACTGGGAGCACGTGTGTCTGTGGCATGCACTGACTGGGAGCACACGTGTCTGCAGCGTGTGTGACCAGGAACACGTGTGTCTGGCTGCACAGACTGGGAGCACGTGTCTGCAGCGTGTGTGACCAGGAACACGTGTGTCTGTGGTGTGCATTGACTGGGAGCACATGTCTGCAGCATATGACCAGGAACACGTGTGTCTGGCTGCACTGACTGGGAGCATGCGTGTCTGCAGTGTGTGTGACCGGGAACACGTGTGTCTGTGGTGTGCATTGACTGGGAGCACATGTCTGCAGCGTGTGTGACCAGAACACGTGTGTCTGGCTGCACTGACTGGGAGCACGCGTGTCCGTGGCGTGCACTGACTGCTTCCCCGCCCCTCTGGCTTGCAGCGGCAGTGAGGAGCAGCAGCGCCTGCTGGCCAGCGTGAAGCACCTGGAGCTGGAGCTGAGCCGCCTGCGGGCGCAGGTGTCCGAGTGGCAGCGCCTGCAGAGCAGCTGTGCGAGGGCGGACGCGGGCCAGGGCCAGGTGCGCCTCCCCGGCCTCCGGGGTTGCGGTGGCTGGGCCGGGACCACGCTGTTGAGGAGCTCCCCTTCCCCGTGTCTGGAGTCGGGCCCTGGGGAGGGACTTCACTGCTGGCGCTCAAATCGCGCGGGCCAGGGGCCTGCGGGCCTGGGCGCATCTCCCACGGCAGACTCGGGCTGGAGCCGGCAGCTGGCTTTGTCTTGTTGATAGCGTCACGGACGCTGCTCCAGGCCCACCCGTCGAGATTTTCTAGAGAAAATCCAGAGCTTGGGCTGCTGCAGGAGGAGACAGGCGTTGAGTGGCAGCACCCCCAGGCCGGGTAGGGGGCTCAGCCGTGACGAGGTGAGGGGCTCCACCCCATGCCAGGCTGCTGGCCTGTGGTCAGGGGCTGTGCGTGGCTTTGGCCTCTGGAAGAAAACCACAGGCTACCGACCACAGAGTGCGGAGCTGGGGGCACCGGTCTGTGTGTGCCCCTGGAGGTGGGTGTGCTTTTCTGGGGCCTGTCCCCCAACTCCAGTCCTTACAGAGCAAGAAGAGACACTCAGGTGCACATGGAGGGGGGACCACAGGGACGTGTTCGACATCCTATGGTGACACTTCTTAAAAAATGTTTCTTTATTTGAAAGCCAGAGGTAGAAGAGGGGCTGAGAGAGAGAGAGGGAGGGTAAGGGGCGGGGGGAGGGAGAGGGAGAGGGAGTGAGTGCTGGTTCACTCCCCCACACGGCTGTAAGAGCCAGATCTGGGCCAGGCCACAGCCAGGAGCCACGAGTTCCATCCTGGTCCCCCGTGGGTGGCAGGGACCCAAGTCCTCGGGCCATCCTCTGCCTTCCCAGGGGCACCAGCAGGGAGCAGGATCAGCAGCCAGCGTCCAGTACAGGGTGTGGCGGTGCAGGCAGTGCCTAACCCCCTGCGTCACGTAGCCAGGCCAAGCGTGGTCACGACGAGGGGCTCTCGTTCCCCTCTGCCATCAGCAGGGCTGGGCGGCGTGGACGGGGCCTCTGCTCAGCTCCACGCTGTCCAGGCCCGCGGTCTGCGCTGCTGTCTCCGGCCTCTTCCGCACGCCCAGCGCGCTTGCTGGTCCTTCAGTACGAAGGAGAAGGTTGTGTCCGATGTACAGGAAGCTCTCGGGGAGACACGCAGCGCTTGCGGCGTTTCTAAGAGGGCGCCGGTGCAAGCCCAAGTCCTTGTGTGAGGCAGCGAATTCGCGTTTCCTGGTGGTTTCGCAGGTGGAGGCGCAGGTCAGAGCGGCGGTGAGACTGCTGCTCTCCGAGGGCCAGCAGGACGAGGCCCTGGAGCAGCTGCTGCGCCGGCTCTCCGCGCGCTTCGTGAGCAAGGAGGACCTGCAGCTGGCCCTAAGCGCGCTGGAGCGGCAGGTGCTGGGCAACATCTCGCACCACGTCGCCGGCAGCGGGCAGGGGCCCACGCCCGAGGCCGTCCTGGCCGCCGTCAGCGAGGCAGGCATCTCTGGCATCACCGAGGCGGTGAGTGGGGGCGTGCCCGAGCCCGGTGGGCGGCGCTGGGCTGCGGCTCTGGGCGTGGTCTCACGGGCTGTGGTTGGGCTTCCTAAGATGATAGAGGCACGCTTCACACACGCCCAGCGGGAGCCGGAGGGGACCTGGGACTCGGTCTGGGACCCCCCTGCCTGTGTGGGGCCGTTCCCAGCCCCCATGCTTCTCGGGGTCCTGGGGCCCCCCGGTCAGGTCTGAGCGCTGAGTACGGAGCGCCCGGTGCAGGCTGCGGCGTGACACTGCTGCGCCTCCCCCTCCTGCCCCGAGACGCACGGAGTCGCTGGTCTTCCTCCTGTCTGTGCAGCAAGCTCAGGTCATCGTGAACAACGCCTTGAAGCTGTACTCCCAGGACAAGACCGGGATGGTGGACTTCGCACTGGAGTCTGGAGGTGGGTGGGCGCGGGCTCTGTGTGCTGGGTGTCCCCGCGGGAGGGGGCGGTGCGCTGGGCGGCTCCTCCCTCGGCTTTCTGCCTGGCCCACCGCGTGGGGCGCAGGTTCTCCCGTGGAGCTCACGGCACGAGCTCCCGGTCGGCGTCTCTGTCCTCCCGTGGTGGACGTCGCAGGCAGAAAGGCCACGGGGGTGCAGTGATGGGTGCCGGTTTGTTCCTTGGAGAAGGAAGACAGACCGTGTCCATCAAGGCTGGGAAGTGCTGAGGTCCGCGCGGCGCCCTCCACTCAGCTGGGTCAGCAGCTGTCCTGTCTCTGTGAGGTCACGTTAGCCCTTGCAGGCGGGTATGCCATCGCGCTCTGTCCCACGTGTGTCCCACGTGTGCACACCACAGTCCTGGGCTCGGGCTCGGGCCCAGCAGTGGCCCAGGATTCGGGGCTCGCTCAGGTCCTCCAGAGCCAGCTCGTCCCCTGGGGAGACGCGTGTTAGTCGTGTCACCAGGAGAGAAGGCCACGGCGGGTCTGAGTGTGTCCACGGGACAGCTCCCGGAGTCCTGCAGGAGGCTTCTCAGGACGCACACGCGTGGGGAGGCTTCTCTCAGGATGCACACGCGTGGGGAGCCTGCTTCTCTCAGGATGCACACGTGTGGGGAGGCTTCTCTCAGGATGCACACGCATGGGGAGGCTTCTCTCAGGATGCACACGCGTGGGGAGGCTTCTCTCAGGACGCACACGCGTGGGGAGGCTTCTTTCAGGACACACACGCGTGGGGAGGCTTCTCTCAGGATGCACACGCGTGGGGAGGCTTCTTTCAGGACGCACACGCGTGGGGAGGCTTCTCAGGACGCACACGCGTGGGGAGGCTTCTCTCAGGACGCACACGCGTGGGGAGCCTGCTTCTCTCAGGACGCACACGCGTGGGGAGGCTTCTCAGGACGCACACACGTGGGGAGGCTTCTTCTCTCAGGACGCACACGCGTCGGAGGCTTCTCTCAGGATGCACACGCGTGGGGAGGCTTCTTTCAGGACGCACACGCGTGGGGAGGCTTCTTAGGACGCACACGCATGGGGAGGCTTCTTAGGACGCACACACGTGGGGAGGCTTCTCAGGATGCACACGCGTGGGGAGGCTTCTTTCAGGACGCACACGCATGGGGAGGCTTCTTAGGACGCACACGCATGGGGAGGCTTCTTAGGACGCACACACGTGGGGAGGCTTCTCAGGATGCACACGCGTGGGGAGGCTTCTCAGGACGCACACACGTGGGGAGGCTTCTTCTCTCAGGACGCACACGCGTCGGAGGCTTCTCTCAGGATGCACACGCGTGGGGAGGCTTCTTTCAGGACGCACACGCGTGGGGAGGCTTCTCAGGACGCACACGCGTGGGGAGGCTTCTTCTCTCAGGACGCACACGCGTGGGGAGGCTTCTCTCAGGACGCACACGCGTCGGAGGCTTCTCTCAGGATGCACACGCGTGGGGAGCCTGCTTCTCTCAGGACGCACACGCGTGGGGAGGCTTCTCTCAGGACGCACACGTGTGGGGAGGCTTCTCTCAGGACGCACACGCGTGGGGAGGCTTCTCAGGACGCACACGCGTGGGGAGGCTTCTCAGGACGCACACGCATGGGGAGGCTTCTTAGGACGCACACGCGTGGGGAGGCTTCTCTCAGGACGCACACGCGTGGGGAGGCTTCTCAGGACGCACACGCATGGGGAGGCTTCTTAGGACGCACACACGTGGGGAGGCTTCTTCTCTCAGGACGCACACGCGTCGGAGGCTTCTCTCAGGATGCACACGCGTGGGGAGGCTTCTTAGGACACACACACGTGGGGAGGCTTCTTCTCTCAGGACGCACACGCGTGGGGAGGCTTCTCTCAGGACGCACACGCGTGGGGAGGCTCTCAGGATGCACTCGGCCTCCCTGACCCCGGGTGCTGTCTGCCCCATCTCCCAGTGAGGGGAGGCTGCACCTCGCTAGTGTGGCCGAGATGAAGCTCACGTGTAGCGTGCCTTCGCCGCTGTCAAGTGTCCACGCGAGCTTCTTGTGTGTTCTGTGCTGTGTCCGTGCAGTCTGGTTGCAGAGTGTCCGTCCCCCGGGAGGACGGCCCGCCCAGCGGCGGTCGCTCCCGGCTCCCCCACACTTTGTGGACGTGCAGTTTGTAGCTGTCACTGTCGCTGGGGCTCTGAAGGCCGCCTGTCGGGTGACGGCAGGACTTGGCCATCTGTGCTCCCGCTGTCGCTTGTTGCGAGGGGCCAGGCGGGTGTGGCGAGGGCACGCGCACACGACAGCCGCGCGTCAGGACTCGCCGATGTGCGGAGGGAGGGTCCTTGCCCCAGCGAGGCGTGAGTTCGCAGACGCTTTGAGGAAACCCCGCTTCCGAGAGCGGGGCTCTGACGCCACCGGCCTCTGCCCCCAGGCGGCAGCATCCTGAGCACGCGCTGCTCCGAGACCTACGAGACCAAGACCGCGCTCATCAGTCTGTTCGGGATCCCTCTCTGGTACTTCTCACAGTCGCCCCGTGTCGTCATCCAGGTGAGTGCCGGCCTCGCTGGAGGTCACGACGCCCACCCGGCTCCGGGGCGACGTGCGGTGGTGCCCGTGTCTGCCCCCTGCCGCGGCTCCCACGGCACACGCTGGCCGCCGGCTTCCCCGCCTGGGGAGCCTCACGCGCCTGTGGTGTGCTGCAGGTGACTAGCGGCAAGGCCCGGGGGCTGGGGGCTGGGGGGGCAGAGGGGCTGGGGGGCAGGGGAGCTGAGGGCCGGGGGGGCTGGGGGGCAGAGGGGCTGGGGGGCAGGGGGGCTGAGGGCCGGGGGGGCTGGGGGGCAGAGGGGCCCGGGGGCAGGGGGCCTGAGGCTGGGGCCTGGGGGGCTGAGGGCCGGGGAGGCAGGGGGTCGGGGGGCAGGGGGCCTGAGGCTGGGGGACGGGGGGGGCTGGGGGACGGGGGGCCAAGGGCCTGGAGCCGGGGGGCTAGGGGCCGCCTGTGTCCTGGGCGCCGCGTCTGCTCTCACTGCACTGTTGCTTTCCCAACACTGTGTGATCAGCTTTACAGGTTTGTTTATTTAAGATTTATTTGTCTGAAAAAATTGCAGAGAGGGAGACACAGAGAGGGAGGTCTTGTTCTGCTGGATCACTCCCCAGGTGGCCAGGGCTGGGCCGAGCCAGAGCCAGGAGCAGCTGCGTCTCCTACGCGTATGCAGGGCCCCAACACCTGGCGCTCTTCCACTGCTTTCCCAGGCCATTGGCAGGGAGCTGGAACAGAGGTGGAGCAGCCGGGACTCGAACCTGCACCCATATGGGATGCTGGCATCACGGACAGCAGCCTTGCCTGCTGTGTCACAGCACTAGCCACACACGTTCCTTTCTTAAATAACTTGACTTGAAAGGCAGAGGCACAGCGGATGCTCTCCATCCCCTGGTTCATTCCTTAAATGTCCACAGTAGCCAGGGCTGGGCCAGGCCACATCCAGGAGCTGGGAACTCAGGTCTCCAGGTGGCTGGGAGGGACCCAGGTATGTGCCTCCCAGAGTGCATGAGGGCAGGAGAAAGAGTCAGCTCATCCCAGGCTCTCCAGGGTTGGGAGTGGGCGTCCCAGGCTCTCCGGGGTCGGGAGTGGGCGTCCCAGGCTCTCCAGGGTCGGGAGTGGGCGTCCCAGGCTCTCCGGGGTCAGGAGTGGCCGTCCCAGACTCTCCGGGGTATGGAGTGGGCGTCCCAGGCTCTCCAGGGTGGGAAGTGGCCGTCCCAGGCTCTCCGGGGTCAGGAGTGGCCGTCCCAGACTCTCCGGGGTATGGAGTGGGCGTCCCAGGCTCTCCGGGGTACGGAGTGGCCAACCCAGGCTCTCCGGGGTCAGGAGTGGCCGTCCCAGGCTCTCCGGGGTCGGGAGTGGGCGTCCCAGGCTCTCCGGGGTACGGAGTGGGCGTCCCAGGCTCTCTGGGGTCGGGAGTGGGCGTCCCAGGCTCTCTGGGGTACGGAGTGAGCGTCCCAGGCTCTCCGGGGTCGGGAGTGGCCGTCCCAGACTCTCCGGGGTCAGGAGTGGCCGTCCCAGGCTCTCCGGGGTCGGGAGTGGCCGTCTCAGGCTCTCCGGGGTCGGGAGTGGGCGTCCCAGGCTCTCCGGGGTCGGGAGTGGGCATCCCAGGCTCTCCGGGGTACAGAGTGGCTGACCCAGGCTCTCGGGGGTGGGGAGTGGCCGTCCCAGGCCGCCCTGCAGCTTGCTCAGATGCTCAATCCCATGCGTCCACGTTGGGGCATGAAGGAAGAGGAATGTGAATTGTCCAAGGTGTCCCAGCTACGCTGCTTCCAGTCCAGCTCCCTGCTGGTGGCCTGGGAAAGCAGCGGGAGGTGGCCCAGCTGCTTGGGCCCCTGCAGCCACATGGGAGACCCGGATGGAGCTCCTGGCTCCTGGCTCAGTCTTGGTTGTGGGCATTTGGGGAGTGACCCAGTGCAGGAAGACCTGCCCTGTTGAAGTTGTATTTCTTTTCTGAGAGGAGGAGTGTGGTGGGCGCAGAGTCACCATGCAGACCCCGGGAGTCAGGTGAAAGCAGGCCTGAGGCGAGCCTCGTTTATTTCAGTTGCTACAGCTGCTTATATAGCCAAGGCAGCCAATCCGATCAAGGGGCAGTCTGTGCCCTAACCAATCACAGCCTGTTGTCAGGCGGTTTCTGGAGCCATCCAGTCACGGCCTGTTGCCAGGCAGTTTCTGTTGTCAGCAGCCATCTTGGCATGACCTTCTCACCTTCTCATTCCACCACACTGCCCAACTCTCTGTCTGTGCCTTTTGAAGCAGATGTATGGGTTTTTAGTTTGCCAAGTGTTTCCAAGTCCAGCCGCAGTGGAAGAAGTCCGCTGCACACTGTTGAGTTCAGCAGAGCTGAGATGTAGGTCCTCCGTGTCACTCTGCCTGGTTTCAGTTAGCACAGGCAACCAGGGCCCACAGGTATCGGGTGGAAAATTCCAGAACAGAATTGAGGACGTGTTTTGTAACATTGTAAACGTTAGTCTTTGTGCCTAGGATTTCTAACTGGGAACGTCTGTCATTCTAAAGTTTAAAGCCATCCTCAAATACTGACAGTTGGGGGTAAAGTTTCAGCCTCTGGACCGGAAGTGCCGGGAGGGCCCCCAGAGCCCTGCTGCAGATGGGGCCGGGACGCGCTGTGCCCGCGCGCGTGTGTGTGTGGATGGGGCCGGGACGCGCTGTGCCCGCACGCGTGTGTGTGTGTGGATGGGGCCGGGACGCGCTGTGCCCGCACGCGTGTGTGGATGGGGCCGGGACGCGCTGTGCCCGCACGCGTGTGTGCGGATGGGGCCGGGACGCGCTGTGCCCGCGCGCGTGTGTGTGTGGATGGGGCTGGGACACGCTGTGCCCGCACGCGTGTGTGTGTGTGCATATGGGGCCAGGACGCGCTGTGCCCGCGCGCGTGTGTGTGTGGATGGGGCTGGGACACGCTGTGCCCGTGCGCGTGTGTGTGTGGATGGGGCCAGGACACGCTGTGCCCGGGTGTGTGTGTGTGGATGGGGCCGGGACGCGCTGTGCCCGCGCGTGTGTGTGTGTGGATGGGGCCGGGACGCGCTGTGCCCGCACGCGTGTGTGTGTGTGTGTGTGGCCGGGACGCCCTGACCGAGTTCTCTGGAAGGATCTAAATGGGAACACTCTGAGCGTGGCATTCACGCTCATAGGATAAAGTTAACCCGTGCCATGCTGCGCGCACCAGAGAACAGCGCACGGCCTGGGGGCCTGCGTTCCCGGCGCTTCGCGCTTTCTCGAGAGCACGTGCGCTCCTGCGATGGAACCTGAGACCCGCCCCCGGGGAGCGCGGGGCGGCGGGGGCGACGCCGCCCACCCCTGCGTGAGCGGGACTCCTGTGCACGTGGCTCCCGAGGCCCCGGCCACTGGCGTGGAAGCGGCACTGAGGAGCGCCCGCGGGGCCCTGGGGTGGGCTGTGGGAGGTCCTTGGCTTTTAAAAATAATCATGCAGTATGGCCAGCGCTGCGGCTCACTAGGCTAATCCTCCACCTGCGGCGCCGGCACCCCGGGTTCTAGTCCCGGTCGGGGCGCTGGTTCTGTCCCGGTTGCCCCTCTTCCAGGCCAGCTCTCTGCTGTGGCCAGGGAGTGCAGTGGAGGATGGCCCAGGTGCTTGGGCCCTGCACCCCGTGGGAGACCAGGATAAGCACCTGGCTCCTGCCATCGGATCAGCGCGGTGCGCCGGCTGCAGCACGTCAGCCGCGGTGGCCATTGGAGGGTGAACCAACGGCAAAAAGGAAGACCTTTCTCTCTGTCTCTCTCACTGTCCTCTCTGCCTGTCAAAAAAAAAAAAAAAAATCCTGCAGTAAACTTGACAGCGGGAGGCCAGGGCTCGGTCAGTGTGCAGAGCCTCTCACCGTCTCACACCTTGCAGTTTTGTGGTTCCCTTTTTCCTTTTTCCTTTTTTTTTTTTTTTTTAAGAATGTATTTGTGTCTATGAAAGACAAAGTTGGAGAGAATCTTCCATCCACTGGCTCACTCCCCGAATGGCCACAGTAGCTGGGCTGGGCCGGGCTGGAGCCAGGAGCTTCCTCCCTGTCTCCCACGCGGGTGCAGGGCCCGGGCACCTGGGCGTCCACTGCTTTCCCAGGCCACAGCAGAGCCGGATGGGGAGAGGGGCGGCCGGGCTGAACCTGAGTTCGCTTCTCTCTGAAATCCGCATCTGCATTTCTCTTTATGGCCTGGTCAGCTCGCTCACAGCCGACTCGGGTGTTCCCGAGGGAAGCTGGGCGAGGGGCTGAGAAGGACGCGCAGTTCCCTCTGGTCCGCTTCCGACAGTGGGCCGCGGAGGGGTGCGTCTTCGGTGTCCGAGTGGGCGCTTCCTCCTGGGGTCCGAGTGTGTGGCTGAGCGCCTGCCCTGTGTCTCCCCAGCCCGACATCTACCCGGGGAACTGCTGGGCGTTCAGGGGCTCCCAGGGCTACCTGGTGGTGCGGCTGTCCATGGCCATCTGGCCAGCCACGTTCACACTCGAGCACATCCCAAAGACGCTGGCGCCCACCGGCAGCATCGCCAGCGCCCCCAAGGACTTCGCCGTCTACGTGAGTGTGGCTTCGAGGACGCGCCGTCCCTCTGTGCCCCTGCGGGAACTCCCCGAGAGGAGAGGGCGAGGGCTGGCGCCCTGTGGAGGCTGTGGCCCCTTTGTCTCCTTTCCCACTTTGTCAGTGTAGCTGCCACGGTCCTGTCTCCTGTCTGGCAGAGGGGTGGGGCCTTCCCGCTCTGCGCCCAGGCCGCTGCGCCTGGGGTCCGTCTCCGGCACCCACGGCCTCAGCCTTGTCACAGCCACGGCCCTCGGGCGGTCCCTGCGCGCTGTCACGTCTTCCATCATAACCACTAACGGGTCCTGTCACCGCGCCCCGCCCAGGACCTCTTCCTGGGCTGGAACGTCAGCTCCCACCCCTGGTCTCCTTTGCTGCCCTGGGCCTCGAGCCTCGTGCCCCGAGCCCGTCGGCTGCCCAGGCTCCGCTCAGGTGGAGGGCAGCCGTGAGCGTGGGGCCCCTCTCTGCTGCTCCCCAGCGAGGACACGTCCCCCGTGGTGGCTGTGGACTCGGAAGCCCGTAATAAACACACACACACACCCCCCGCCGGGGCGGCCCTGTGTCTGCACTGTGGACAGGTGACCCGTGTGCAGAGGCGGGCCGCGGTGTAGTGACCGTGTGGTCTTGGCTTCAGGGCTTGGAGAACGAGTACCAGGAAGAGGGGCAGCTCCTGGGACAGTTCATGTACGACCAGGAGGGCGACTCGCTGCAGATGTTCCCCGTGCCGGTAAGGACCGCGCCCCCACAGCTCCTGGCCTCGCGAGCCCTGGTGGACGCTGGCGCGGGGCCCGGGTCTCACCCAAGCCCGCGCGCCGTGGCCCAGGACGCGGCAGGCGCTGGCCGAGGGGTCGGCCCCGCCCGCCGCCGGGCTGCTCGGACTCAGCGGCCTTGCCCTTGCTTCCAGGAGCGGCCGGACAGAACGTTCCAGATCGTGGAGCTGCGGATTCTCTCCAACTGGGGCCACCCCGAGTACACGTGTCTCTACCGGTTCCGAGTCCACGGGGAGCCGGCCGCGTGAGCCGCGGCGCCCCGGCCGTGCGCATTTCTGTATATAGGGAGGTGGCCGCCCACGCGGGACCCCTCGGGGATGGCGGCGGAGATGAAGGCGCAGTCCTGTGCTTCATTAAACGTGCGACTGCGAGCGCGTGCGTGTGCGTGTGTGTGCGCGCGTGCGGGAGCCCCGCCCCGCGTCCCGGGGCGCCCCGCCTGGCTGCCGCTGTCCTGGTGGGCGCCGACTCCAGGCGCGGCGGCCCGTTTGGTCCTAACTACCATTTGATACACAGACTGTACTACCGTGCAGGCTTTGTACAGGTGTCTGCAGGGCGCTTAGGGTTCGGCCGTCGCGTTGAGAGTTCTCTAAGTTCCACTGGTTGAGTTTGATGTTTTCAGAAAAGGCCGTGACGGCGCTGCCGGTTCTGCACGCGCAGACCGGAGCGCGTTCAGGGCTGGCGCTGCGCGGCGACACAGCTCACACGTGCACCAGGATCTCCTACGTGAGACTCGGTCCGGAGCGGGTGGACATATTTTGCATATTTATTTTTGAAGATAGGACTTTGTGCAATGTATTTTTGTAAATGCTTTTCAGAATACGTCTTTGGTAATGCTTCTTACGCGGACACCAGTTGATAAGATGCTACTGAAATGTTTAAATAAATAAAGAGTTTTAATTTTTACAGTGCATGTGGTGTTTAAACCAGCAAGCCGTGCGCTCTCCTCGGGTTGTCTGCGCCTTTGCATTTACAGGCAGAACTGGAGGCGCAGACGGAGGCACAGAGCTCCTCTGCCCGCCCGCCTGCTGCCCCGCTGGCCACCCCGCCATCGGCGGGCGGCCCGGGGAGGGGAGTGACCGTGACGTGGCCACGCCTGCGGCTCAGCCCACGCGGGCGCCGGCTCGAGACCCCGCGGCTCCGCGTCCCGGGCCGTGAGCGGGAGCGGGGCCGGAAGCGGAGCCGGGGCTCGAACCCACGCGCTGCAGGCGGCGGCTTCACCCGCCAGACACGAGTCGCCCCCTCGGCCTGAGCGGTGCCCCCATCATGGTCGGCCGTGCGTTCGTCGCCGGCTCGGTTTCCACGAGGGGCCGGGGCACCCGCGGACGCGGGTCCCTCGCGCTCTGGGGCGGCCCCGTAGGCGCGGGCCCCTCGCGCTCTCCCGGCGGCCCCGTGGACGCGGGTCCCTCGCGCTCTCCGGGCGGCCCCGTAGACGCGGGCCCCTCGCGCTCTCCGGCGGCCCCGTGGGCGCGGACCCCTCGCGTTCTCCCGCGGCCCCGTGGACGCGGGCCCCTCGCGCTCTGGGGCGGCCCCGTGGGCGCGGGCCCCTCGCGCTCTCCGGGCGGCCCCGTGGACGCGGGCCCCTCGCGCTCTGGGGCGGCCCCGTGGGCGCGGGCCCCTCGCGCTCTCCGGGCGGCCCCGTGGGCGCGGGCCCCTCGCGCTCTGGGGCGGCCCCGTTGGCGCGGGCCCCTCGCGCTCTCCCGCGGCCCCGTGGACGCGGGCCCCTCGCGCTCTCCGGGCGGCCCCGTGGGCGCGGGCCCCTCGCGCTCTCGGGGCGGCCAGCGTCCAGGGCCGCGTCAGCCATTGTGCTGCGAGCGCGCGCCCGGCCCGCGTCAGGTGGTAGCCCGCGGCTCCGCCCCCGGGCCACGTGCCCCTCGCCACAGGCGGCCCGGCTGCTGAGTCACGTGTGCCCACCGCGCAGCGCCCCGCGCCTGCGTGCGGCTCCTCGCGGCCACCGTAGAGGGCGTGGCGCGGCCGCGGGACGGAAGCCGGGAGGGAGTCGCCGCCGACCGCCCCTGCGACAGCGACAGCGTCAGCCCTGCGCGGAGCGCCGGCCCGATGGCGGCGGCGATGGCCGAGCAGGAGAGCGCCCGCAACGGCGCGCGCAACCGCGGCGGCGTCCAGCGCGTGGAGGGCAAGCTGCGCGCCAGCGTGGAGAAGGGCGACTACTACGAGGCGCACCAGATGTACCGGACGCTCTTCTTCAGGTAGCCGCGGCGCGGCGCGTCCGCCCGGCCCGGCCCGCCCCCGCCCGCCTCCTATTGGTCGCGCCGCGCCAGCCCGCGCCCCCATTGGTCCGCGCGGCTGCCTGTCGGAGGCCGAGGCCGGCCGGGCGCGGGGGGCTGGGGCGGCGGGCGGGGGGCTGCGGGCGGCCGGCCCGGCTTGACCCGGCCTGACCCGGCCCGGCGCGGCCGCGGCCTCCCCTCCGCGAGCTGCGAGCCGGCTGGGGCGTCCCCGCGGGCGGCACGGCCGTCGGGCGCCCTGACCGTGGGGCGACCCCTCGGCGCGGCCTGCGGCCCGGCCCGCCCCCGGCGCCGGCGTGGCCGCCATGCGAGCCCGCGGCTCAGGCCCGGCCCGGCGCCCGCTGTTTCGTGAGGCTGAGTTTCGGGGCAGGTTCGGTTCTCGGTAACTCGCGTGGGACGTGCGTGCCAGCCCTGGGGCCCGTGGTGAGAGTCGCTGGGCTTCGCGGGGCGCGGGGGCGCAGGGTCTGAGGCCCCGGCCGGGGGACACCGGGCAGAGGACGGGCGTGGGGCCAGCACCCCCGTCCCGGGCAGAGGACGGGCGTGGGGCCAGCACCCCCGTCCCGGGCAGAGGACCGAGCGTTGGGCCAGCACCCCCGTCCCGGGCAGAGGACCGAGCGTTGGGCCAGCACCCCCATCCCGGGCAGAGGACCGAGCGTGGGCCCAGCACCCCCGTCCCGGGAAGAGGACCGAGCGTGGGGCCAGCACCCCCGTCCCGGGAAGAGGACCGAGCACGGGGCCAGCACCGCCGTCCTGGGAAGAGGACCGAGCACGGGGCCAGCACCGCCATCCCGGACAGAGGACCGAGCGTGGCCAGCACCGCCGTCCCGGGAAGAGGACCGAGCACGGGGCCAGCACCGCCATCCCGGGCAGAGGACCGAGCGTGGCCAGCACCGCCCGTCCCGGGCAGAGGACCGAGCGTGGGGCCAGCACTCCCGTCCCAGGAAGAGGACTGAGCACGGGGCCAGCACTCCCATCCTGGGCAGAGGACTGAGCGTGGGGCTAGCACCCCTGTCCCGGGCAGAGGACTGAGTGTGGGGCCAGCACCGCCGTCCCGGGAAGAGGACCGAGCGTGGGGCTAGCACCCCTGTCCCGGGCAGAGGACTGAGCGTGGGCCCAGCACCCCTGTCCCGGGAAGAGGACCGAGCGTGGGGCTAGCACCCCTGTCCCGGGCAGAGGACTGAGCGTGGGCCCAGCACCCCTGTCCCGGGAAGAGGACCGAGCGAGGCCAGCACCGCCCTGCCTTGGCGTCTGTTGCCTCCACAGCCCTGCTGTGCCCCGGGTAGGGAGTGTGTGTGGAGTCCCGGGCTCCTGGCCGAGGAGGAGGTGTGAGTCGCTCTCCTAAGTGACCTGAGACAGGTCTGGTTCCGGAACCTTCTGTGCAGTGACGCCCGGCAGTCAGGCTGCGAGGAGATGGGTTCAGGAGGAGGTTTGAGGTCGTGCAGCCTTCACCCCGGGGTGGTCATGTCCATGCCCGTGGGCTGCTCTGGGCGCGCTGGCTCCCCGCGGCTGCCGTGGGCTGCTCTGGGCGCGCTGGCTCCCCGCGGCTGCCGTGGGCTGCTCTGGGCGCGCTGCCTCCCCGCGGCTGCCGTGGGCTGCTCTGGGCGCGCTGCCTCCCCGCGGCTGCCGTGGGCTGCTCTGGGCGCGCTGCCTCCCCGCGGCTGCCGTGGGCTGCTCTGGGCGCGCTGGCTCCCCCGCGGCTGCCGTGGGCTGCTCTGGGCGCGCTGGCTCCCCGCGGGCTGCATCGCTCCTCGGGGAGCAGTGGTGTGGGGTGTGTGCGCACCGTCCCGTCTGGACCTGCGCCCCCGAGATGAGACGGGTGCTGGTCTTGGGGACCGGGATGTAGGTGTTTGCATGGTGACTGATCACGAGTGTCTCTTCCTGGAAACACACTGCCTCGCGTGGGCCAGGTCCGCAGGGCTTGGTTGTTAACCCTTAAAGCTGGTTCACTCCCAAGGCAGAGCTGGGCCAGGCTGAAGCCAGGAGCCTGGCCCTCCGTCTGGGTCTCCACGTGGGTGCAGGGACACGGCACTGGGCCGCCGTCCACGGCTTTCTCAGGCCGTGAGCCGGGAGCTGGGGAGAGCTGGGGCAGCCGGAACTCCAGGCGGCACCGCGGGCCTGGCCCTGGTGTGACCCTCAGTGGACGAGTGCGTCCATGGAGGCTGCGTTTCTGCCAGACCCCCCACTGGGGCCCGGGACGCAGCACACGCGTCCCCAGGTGCACTCTGGGAGTGCGGCCTCTCGGAAGTGGGAGTCCCCGAGTTAGCTGGGGTTCTGATGTGTGTCATGCGTTTGCATATTGCCAGGCAACCAGTCACGTGGGCCGGGCCCGCCCCCCAGTGGCTGCCGTCAGCCCTTCTGGGTTGATGGGCTTCTAGAACCCCGCGCAGTGCAGTCACGGTGGGGGCGCCTGTTTGGATTCTGAATGCGCTGAGCGGGGTGGGGGTCCCTGCGGGTGTCTTAGTCCGCTTTGTTGCTGACGGGGTCTTCGCCTGCTCAGTCCCGTGGCTGCAGGGAGCGGGGAGGGGCCGGCAGCTCAGGCCCTGGTTCCTGGGTCGCTTGCTCAGCCGGTGGCTGTTGGACCTGTCCCCGTGGACGAGGAGCGAGCTGGGTTTCAGGCCCCGTGGAGGGTGTGTGGTGCACACCCAGTTCCCCGGTGAGCTGGTCCCAAGAGCTGCTGGGGACACGGGCGGCTGTGTCCTGGCCACGCCAGCACTGAAGCCCCTGCCACGGCACAGGGTCGGACACCGTCTCCACAGCGCCTTGGCCTGTGTCCACGTCCCTGCTTGGCTGTTCCCAACAGCTGAGCACGGACAGAGCTGCCTCCAGCAAGCCCGTGCTAAGGCCCGGCCGGTCCTGGGGCACTCCCACGTTGCGTCGTGGGCATCAGCGCGTGGGTTCTGGTGTTCTGTGGGGGTTTTGCTTTGTTTGTAGAGCAAGGAGGGAGTGAGCCTGCCGTGGCCCGCGGTCGGCACCCACCTGGGAGCGGGGTCCTGGGGCTCTGCGGTGGACGCCGGGACCCTCACCGGGCAGGAGGCGCAGGCGGGCTGAGCCCTGTCGGCAGTGCGGAAGTCCTGAGGCTGCCCACCCCCCACTGGACCTGGGCTGCTGGGCCCCTGCTCTGGGCACTGTGGTCCCGGCAGCCCCCTCGCGGCCAGGACCCCACCCCAGGAGTCGGGTTCCTCGCCTTCCCAGAGTTCTTTCTCGTGGTTGGGTCTCCTAAGAGGTGGCCGGCGGGGTGAGTTTGTCGCAGGCCTCAGAAATCCAGAATTGAGTGCTGTCGCACGTGGGCAAGAAACGTGCTCGCCGGTCAGGTCAGGGGAGATGGCGCCGTTCGGTGCCCCCGCCGTGCCTTTGGGCCCGGGTCCCCGTGAGGGTGTGCCGAGGATTCGGCAGCACGTGCAGGGCGCGGAGGCTGGGGGCGTCGCTGGCCGGGAGCCCCGTGTCGCACCCCTGCCCTTTGCCGTCCCTCGTCAGGTGGACAGGGCGTGGCGCGGCTGAGGCCGCCGGACTGCTGCCCTGTGTGTGGACGGGGCCTGCCCGCCCCGTCTCCCCGGCGGCGTGCTCCCGAGAGCCCGCGGGGGCGCAGGTCCACTTCCGGGGCTGTGGGTGCCCGGGCTGTTCTCACGCTGCTCTCTCTCCCGCAGGTACGTGTCCCAGGGCAAG